GCCGGGGAGGCGCTGCAGGCCCTGTGCCAGGAGCTGAACCTGGACGAGGGGAGCGCGGCCGAAGCCCTGGACGACTTCACCGCCATCCGGGGCAACTACAGCCTAGAGGTGAGCGGCGGCAGGTGGGGCGGCCGGCCCCGACCCTCGCCAGGCCCCACCCCGGCTCCGCCCCTGCCCTTCCCCGCGGGGCGGTGGGAGTTTCCCCACCGAGAGGGGTCGCCGCCCAGCCGCGCACCGCAGGGCGCGAAATTGGAAGGGCGAGCGTAGATTTTTTTTTTTTTTTTTTNTTTTTTTTGAGGCGGGAAAGTGAAGTTCGGAAAAGGAGAGGATTGTCCAAGGTCACAAGCCCCTCAGGGGTCCCCTAGACTCCAGACTAGACTTCCCTCCATCCCGCCAAACGCCACAGACGTCATGGCACTGCCCTTAACTCTAAAAAAACCCCACACCAAATACTATAATGATAGAAGCGAAAATGAATCGTGTGCCAAGACATCACTGCCCAGCACTTTTAAATATGTCGTCTCTCGTAGTCCTCGCTGCAACCCCTGGGACCAGTTGCGCGATCCCAGTTCCGTAGATGGGAAGCTGAGCCCCTAGGAGGTTAAGTTGCTCACTCGCCTGAGGTCACGTGGTGGGTGGTGGAGCCCGACTGGGGCGTGCGAGCCCTTTAACCCCGCGGCCCTGCGCCTCCCTGGGGCGCGGGCGGGCTGCTCTCGCCGCGGCGCCGCGCTGCCCCGCAGCTGGGGCAAAGCCCGCGCTCTTTAGGTGCTCTCAGCTCCGGCTTCCTCCGCTCTCCCATGGGGATACTTAGATTGTCCTGCTGCTGTAGCGCAGCGTCTCTGGCTGTCATTATATATGATAGAAAGGAAAATAAATGTGGGCTGTCATTATCAGATCTTCCCCAACCATTCTTGCATTTGGTCTTCACCACAGCCCTGTGCGCACGGCAGAGTAGTGAGTATTATACCTGCTTCCCAGGTAGTATCAAGGCCCAGATGGTTGTCCTGCCCTGGGTCGTTCTCATAATTATTCTGGGAACCCAGATAAGCACAAGCTCTGTGTAGGGATAGAATGGTGATGGAGTGTATTTCAACAGTTACTCCAGTGGCCTTAGAGTCAAAGGCTTTCATGATCCAAAGGGGCTGGACTCACCCATAGAGTGCTCCACTGACTACCCAGTGAAATAATTAATTGCTGGATTTGAAGGCAAAGAGTTGGAAATGTGAAATTGAGTGTATGCATCCTATATAAGGGAAAAACACCCGAGAGTCAGGCATGTCTCCCGAGTAGTACTGGATAGACTGGGTAGAGGACAGTGGTCCTCATCCGTGGGTGGCATGACGGGAAAGCTGAGGAAAGAATGAGGAAGTAAGGGATATTATGGATTATGGCTTCTCAGCGACAAGAAACTGATTTTTGAAAGGCAGAAAGCGTTTCTGACATCCCAGGTCCTCCTTTGGTCTTAGTGAATAAGCACTTACTGAGCGCCAACTCTAGGCGTTAAACTAAACACGTCTTTCAGATTCTTGACTATGCCAAGTGTTCCCACTTACATTCTTTCTCCATGCCATTTCCTCTACCTGAAAACTTTCCCCTCAACCCCCATCCCGGGGAAAACTTAAGAGCTAGATCTCCAGTTAGGCAGAGTTGATCGAGACAATCTTAAGTGCTTGATTTAAAAAGCATAGATGTGTGAATTAAGATTTTTCTGAGGGTTTTTTTTCTACCCAGTGTTTTATTTTTGTATTTCTTTCTTTCTTTGTTTTTGGTGAAAGGCTCCTGAAGTTGGCATTTTCATGTATCTGCTGCTTCCTAAGAACCCCTCTCCCCAGCCATACCTCTCTCTAGTCTACCTGACAAGCTCCAGCTTACATTTTCCCCTCCTCCCTTACATTTTGGTGATTTGACACTTAATGATTTTAAGTCTCTGAACCCTTCCCTGACCTCCAGTCACAATCATGTTCTCTACGCTATATTCTCCCACAACACGTCATCTTCATTTCTTCTTACAGCATGTATCTCACCAACTATAGATAATAGTGTCTGTTTTTCTTAGCCCTAGCCGTGGAGTTCCATGAGGTCGGAAACCATCTTTGTATTTCTAAGACCTAGCATCAAGGACTCAAGATAAATAATATGGGTGACTTTAATTTTTTAAGGGGAAAAAAATCAAAGCAATAATTTTGGTACTTAATTTTTTTTATCTTAATGGTGTATCGAAAGGCTCTATAACACTTGGATGCTCTTCCCAAATTTATTAATCAAATCTTCTAAAAATATTCAACCTTAAGCTTACCTACCTCTTGAATGCCTTGAGCAAATAAGATTTATCATTACTTTACAGTAGGAGCTCTGGGTTTTAGCTTTATTGGTGGCCACTCATTTTTCCCCACCCCTTTTGGATTATTGCAAGAAACCTGTCAGCCTTTTTATCCTTCTAGAGTCTGATCTTAAAGAGGATCTGCAGAATAGTGAATAGCAACAGTAGAATGTTGTGCTTTGAGATTTCTAACTCTTAATCCTTAAATCTCACGTATAGTTCGGCCATGAAGTCACCAAGCTATTCGAGCGTGGAGATGTGTCAGGTATCTCAGAATTAAGTGTTGAATTCTCAAGTGTTACCTTTTTTGTAGCATTGTAAATTGAGATACTTGCTAAAATAGAGAGATTGGGGTAAATAATTCCCCAAATTTTTACCTCACAATCTCCTTTATGTTGTACAAGATAGGTATTATTTTTTACATGTGATTCTCTTGCCATCTTTCCACTCTGTTGTTTCCTTTCTCTGCCAAACTGGTTAAAAAAAGATGGAAAGGAATTTCAGCATCATTAAGGCCATGACTGCTGTTTTAAAATCGAGAAAGCTAATGCTGAGAAATTTTAAGACAACTCTTTTGGTAGTATTGTATTTGGGGTATAGGTGAGAGATCTAGCTTTGGATTAATACTGATTTAGCGTGTAACCCAGCACTGAGAGTAAGAAGTTTTATACCCGTTGCTGCAGGTAACTAACCTTGGTGACCTTAGGCAAATACTCCACCTCTCTGGCTTGTTAATACAGAATGAATATTAGACCAAGATGATTCAAAGATCTCTTCTAGTTCTAGAATTTAAGCATTTTAGCATAATAAGTTCAACTTGCTGTTTGTCTTTTGCCTGCCAGGGAGAAGTTATACACTGGTTGGCATGTTCATTGTATGTTGCATGCCGCAAAAGCATCATTCCCACAGTTGGAAAGGGTATCATGGAAGGAAATTGTGTTTCACTTACCAGAATACTACGTTCAGCTAAATTAAGGTAAAGCATTTTGATTTTTCAAACATTGTTTTATAAGTCCTAAATTTAATTTTAGAATTTAATTTCTCTTTATTTTAAAACATTTAACTTTATTCTATTCTGTTTGTTATTACATATTCTTTCCCAGTTCTCCTTCCACTGCCTTTCTTCCTCAAATTCTTAACTTCAGCCTAAAGCCTCTGTACTAAATCTTTTTTATCTATAATTTTGCATTAATTTTTTAAAATTTGAAAATAATTTGAAGCACAAGGCATACCCATATACCCTTGATGCAGATTCACCTATTAATATTTGCTTTATCATTTGATCTTTTTCTCTCAAATAATATTTTTTTCCTCAACCATTTCAAATTAAGCTGTGTACATTATAGCCCTTTACATCTAAATACTTGAGTGTGTGTTTCCTTAAATAAGTGTAGTACAGTTATCAACTCCAGCAGCGTTAACATTGATACAATAATTTTATCTAACTTGTCATTTCTATTCTAGATTTTTGTGTGTGTTTTTTTAATTCTTATCTGAGGATATTTTTTCCATTACTTTTCAGAGAGTGGTAGGAAGGGAGATTTGGGGGGTGGAGAGAAACATCAGTGTGAAAGAGACACATCCATTGGTTGTCTCCCACACGTGCCCCGACCTGGGGCGGGCAGTGAACCCACAACCCATGTATGTTCCCTTCACAGAATCAAACCTGCGATCCTTCAGTGTGTGGGCTGGCGCTCTAACCACTGAGCAACACCAGCTAGAGCTCTAGTCTAGTTTTATTGATCCAATAATGTTGGGGTTTTTTTACATTTTATTTTATTATTATTTATTTATTAATATATCTTTATTGATTTCAGAGAAAGGAAGGGAGAGTTGAAACATATATGATGAGAGAGTCACTGATCAGCCACCTCGCACTTCCTCAACTGGGGATCGAGCCCACAACCCGGGCATATGCCCTGACTGGGAATCGAACCACAATCTCTTGGATCCTAGGTCGATGCTCAACTGCTGAGCCATGCCCAGCTGGGCCCAATAATGTTCCTTATAGCATTTTTTTTTTCTTTAGTTATGATCTCTAATTTAGAATCAAGCAGTACATTCATTTATGTCTCTTTAATTTCCTTTAATCAGGAATATTTCCACTGCCTTTGTCTTTTATGACATTGACATTTTTGAAGAATATAGTCCACAACTACCCACTCCCTTTTTAAATACATTGTTCCTTATTTTGGATTCATCTTGTGTTTCCTTATGATTAAATAGATGTAGGCTCTACATTTACAAATGGAAAACTACATAAGTGATTTTGTGTCCTCAGTGTATCACATCTGGAGGTATATGATATCTATATGCCTCTCATCGGTGATGTTAATTTTGATCATCTACTCAAGGCATTGTCCCGTTTCTTTCCTGTGTAGTTAATATTTTTCCCCTAGAAACTACTGAGCAATCAGTATCCACTACAGTATTGACTGTAGCTTTTACTTGCCTCTTGTATCAACTGAATGGAACTAATTGCCTGGATACAAAACAGAAGAAATGGAGTGATCCAGATCTGGATGGTCTATTTCTGGGTTATTTACCTGTGACAAAACTTTTTGAGGTAGTTGTCTATTTGCACTCCTGGGTTTCCAGGATATAAGAGAAACAAACTTTAAAGCCCTATTCAGAGAGGGCAATTAGGTTTCAGTTCATGCTAAATTTTAAAAAAATTATTCTTTTTTCAGAATAATTTGTTACCTCTAAATGGAAAAATAATAAAGTAAAGGCAAAATTTTAAAGTTTAGTATCAATTTTTTTCACTAATGATAAAAAGAAAGTATAATTGCCTGACTGGTGTCGCTCAGTGGTTGAGTATTGACCCATGTACCTAGAGGTCACCAGTTCAATTTGGTTTGATTCCTGGTCAGGGCACATGCCCGAGTTTTGGGCTCGATCCCTAGGGAGGGGCTTGTGGGAGACAGCCGATCAATGTTTCTCTCTCATCTATGCCTCTCTCCCTCTCTCTCTCTCTCAAATCAATGAAAACATATTTTAAAAAAACAAAACAAAATATAATTAAGATTGATGGAGTTCAGGTAATTTTTAATTGAGCAATACCTTATCCATTATAGTATAAAACAGTCTGATCTTTTTCTGTCAGATTATTTCTCATCAATGACCATATAAAAATATTAAAATCTTTGTAATAATTGTTTGTTAGGGAAATTGAACAAAAAAGAATAATTTCAAATTTAGAGCAGCACAAGCTTATGATAAAAATTTCAAATAATGGAGAGTAATTAATGGAGATGGGTGATGGTGAATGTACTTAATGCCACTGAACTGTACTTTTAATAACTCAGTTGATTAGAGCGTCATCCTGATATGCCAAGGTTGCAGGTTTGCTCTTGGGTCAGGACACGTACAAGAAACCACCAATAAATGCATAAATAAGGGGAACAACAAATCAATGTTTCTGTCTCTCTAAAATCAGTAAATTGGTTAAAATGGTTAAAATGCTAAATTTTATGTTACATCAGCACATTTTTAAAAAGATTTAAAATTTTTCAAATAATACAAAAAGGTTGAAAGTAGAAAGATGTCTCTTTTCTCACCTCCCAGAATTAACCACTATTAACAGTTTACTGTTAATAAATTGTTAAACAGGAAAAAAATTGTTTTTAAGTTTTTTGGTTCTTTTTTTAAAAACAAATGAGATAGTACTATAAGTATTGTTCCACAATTGTTTTTCTTTGATATTCTGTAAATCCATACCACCATATGCGGCTCAACCTAATTTATTTTTTAATGACTCTAGAATATTTTCAGATATAAGGATTTTTTTATATTTACACAGCCCCTTATTGGTGGACATTTAGGTTGTATCCAGTCTTTTGCGATTACAGATAAGTGAACATCATTGTAAATATATATTTTAGATAAATTCCTAAAAGTGTATTGATGGGTCAAAGGATAATTGTGTTTTAAATGTAGATTGATAATTTTAAAAAGTTTGAAATGTCACATTCTTTTTACTTCAATTATTGTCACCTGAGGATATTTTTTTACTGATTTTAGAGAGAGAGGAAGGGGGGAAGAGAGAGAAACATCAGTGTGGGAGAGAAACATGGATCAGTTGCCTCTTGTATCTGCCCCAACTGGGGATCCAACCCACAACCTAGGTATGTGCCCTGACCAGGAACTGAACCCGCAACCTTTTTAGTGTATGGGAAGATGCTCCAATAACTGAGCCACTCAGCCAGGGCAAGTGTCACATTCTTTTTTTTTTTTTTAATCCTCACCTGAGGATATTTTTTTTTATTGCTTTTCAGAGACAGCAAAAGGGGATGGGAAGGGGGAGAGAGAGAGAAACACATCCATGTGAGAGAGACACATCAATTGGTTGCCTCCTGCACATACCCCAACTGGGTCCTGGGATCAGGCCTGTAACCAGGGTACATACCCTTGGCCGGAAAGGAACCTGGGACCTTTTAGTCCACATGCCGACACTAACCACTGAGCCAAACCAGCTAGGGCAAGTGTCACATTCTTAATTGCTAAAAGAACCATAGACCAACATCATGTTCATTCAGAAAAATGAAAAAAAGTTGCAAGTGGTATTGTTATTTGCATTTATTTATTATAATACTTTGGGTTATTTTCAAAATTTCAACTTTAAATGTAAAATTTTACATGATTGTGTAAATCTTTATAGACATGGGAAAATACTCATCAAATATTGTTAATAAATCATACTACAAAATACTATACAGTGGAACCTCGGTCGTCAAACTTAATTCGTTCTGGAAGGCTGTTTAAGAAGCAATTTGGCCCGGCCGGGCATGGCTCAGCGGTTGAGCATCTAGGATCCAGGCGATCTGGGTTCTATTCCTGGTCAGGGCACATGCCCGGGTTGTGGGCTCGATCCCCAGTTGGGGGCGTGCAGGAGGCAGCCAATCATTGGCTTTCTTATCATTGATGTTTCTATCTCTCTCCCTCTCCTTTCCTCTCTCTGAAGTCAATAAAGATATATTAAAAAATAAAAAAGAAACATTTTGTTTGAAAACGGAATCATTTTCCCCCATTAGAAATGTAAATTGAATTAATTTGTTCCAAACCCTTAGATTATTCCATTTTAACCTTTCGTATATACAGTTCATGTCTAATGTATTGTTTAATCTATAAACACTTTTCTTAAATTTATTGAACCGCTCCCTACTATCCTTAGAGGAATCACTTTCAGCACTTGTTCCAGCATGCAGCATCTTCACTTTTTCACCTATCATTGCCTCTGAAATGTCACTGGCAAAGTGATTTTTGTTTATCCAAATCAACAACAGTTTGTCTACCTCTTCAGTTGCCAGTGATCATTGTTTTGTGAGTACTTTCATACCCTTAGCAACATCAGCACACTTGATGGCCTCTTTGTGTTTTAGAATTGTGCTAATGGATCCTAGCTGGTTTGGTTTAGTGGTTAGAGCCTCGGCCTGCAGGCTGAAGAGTCTCAGGTTCAGTTCCAGGGAAGGGCACGTATGTCGGTTGCAGGCTCAATTCCCTGAGTGTCAGCCAGGGTACATGCAGGAGGCAACTAATCAATGTATTTCTCTCACATTGTTGTTTCTCTCTCTTTCCACTCTCTCTGAAAAGCAATGGAAAAAATATCCTTGGGCGAGGATTAAAAAATTAATTAATTAATTTAATTGTGCTAATGGTCCATTTCAGCAGCAACAAAAGCAAACAAACAAACAAAACATGAAAATATTCACAGCACAATTTCCTGAGATGTTAACAACATGAAGTTTAGCAGTAAACTGACTAGCATTCTCTCCTTTGTTTGTAGTCTGAAAGATGCTTTTTGACATGCTGATGTATCAGCATAAAAGGATTGTCAGGTTAGGAACTACTGAAGTTTTGTTCAAAAAACAGAGACATTTTTTCCATGAACTACTTGGTCGAGAACAGAATTGTTCGAGATGGGAGATGTTTGAGAACTGAGGCTTAACTATATAAGTACAGATTATAGATACGTATGTAAAACTTGCAGATTTTTATTTTGTTCTTAACCTGTGTGCCAGGCACCGCTTGTGTGCTAAAGGTTTGCATGTCTTTATCCACTTAATCCTCACAGTTAATCCCATGAAATAAATCTTATAGATAAGGAAACCGAGTCATCAAGAGGTTAAATTATTTCCAAGAGGCCATATACCTAGTAAATGGCAGAGCCTCCCAATTCCATGCTATATTACACATGTATCTATGCACAAATATAATATTATTATGTCTCTGTTTTGAACTTTATTTATATTCAGCTTCAGTTTGCCAAAAAAAACTTAAAGCAACTTCCAACTTTAAAAAAAATGTTTCATGTAAAAGTTTCTTTTGCTGTTAAGTGTAGTATTAAAAAGTAGTATCTGTTGTGCAATTAAAAATTTTAATTCATTTTAATAAAGACATTGTCTGCATCTCCTTTTTTAAGTATTGAAAAGTAATTTTCCATATTCTTTCACAAGTTTTTCAATAACATGATTTACTTTTTTTTTTAATTTGTGGTTGAAGTCAAGATTACTTTCATTTATTATTTTCATATTGTAGTAGAACCCAAATGAAAATTTAGTTCTTGAGTTTTTTATACTAAGTAATGTTTTATCTTTTGAGTGTCTTTAAAATTCAGTAGTGTGTTTCACTTGGGACATATGCACCATATTTTTTATTTCTGCTCTATAAATTTGTTTTTGTTGTGTGTGTGTAGTGAAATATACGTAACATACTTGACCATTTTTTAATTTTTTTTTGAAAAAAATTATTTTTAAAGAGAGAGAAACATCGATCAGCTGCCTCCCATACACGACCTGACTAGAGGTTGAGCCTACAACCTAGGTATGTGCCCTGACCTTCTGGTTTATGGGACAACGTTCCAACCAAATGAGCCACCCCACCAAGGCCTATTTTAACCACTTTTAAGTGTACAGTTCAGTGGCAGTAATTGCATTTACATTGTTGTGCAACCATCACCACCATCCATCTCCAGAACTTTTTCATCATCCCAAACTAAAACTTTGTAACAATTAAACAGTATCTTCCTTCTTTCCCCTCCTGTTAACCTTCATTCTACTTTCTGTCTCTATGAATTTGACTATTCTAAATACCCCATATAAATGGAATCAAACAGTATTTGCCTTTTTCGTGACTGGCTTATTTCACTTGGCATGATACCCTTAAGGAAGGACACAGCGTATGAATACTTAGCATAATGTCTTTAAGAAAATGGCTGATTCGAAAGCTAGGGCAAACCTATATTTTCTTTTTAAAAATTAAATGTATTGCTGTAAAGCTGGTTAATAACTTATATAAGTTTTAGAAGTACAATTTTATAATATGATATTTGTATACTGTGTGCTCACCACTAAAGCCTAGTCTTTTTCTGTCACCATAATATCTGACCCCCTCTACCTTCTTTCTCTTCCACCCACCTCCTTTCCCCTCTGGTGACCACCATTCTGTTGTCTGTATCTCTCTTTTTTTTTTTTTAATTTTATTTTTGTTTAAAATATTACACTGTTGTCTATATCTCTGAGTCTGTTTGTTTGTTTGTTGTTTTTTGTTTTATTTCCCATGTAAGTGTGAAGTCAAATACAGTTCTTGTCCTTTTTGATCTTATTTCATTTAGCATAATGCTCACAAACCTATTTTTTCTAATGAACCTGGAATAGAAAGTAAGGAAGTGCTCAAAAAAATGTTGGGGACATATCCAAGGGGCGTAGGAGCTAACTTGAGAAGGTTCCCAGAAGTAGCCAGATCTGGGATAATTTGAGCATCAAAATGAATAGGGACAGTTATGGATTATAATTCACTGAATACATTTATACTGATGATAAATAGGGGAGAAGGGAAACCTCTTATATTAAAATGCCAATTAATAAATATAGAAGAAATGATAGAGTTAGGAAAAAGCTCACCATTTTGCAACCTCATAGTAATGATTGAGGGAAAAATCCTCAGTGAATGCTAAAACTAGGGCATAATAGTTTGATGAGGAGCAGAATATTTATATAATTCCAAGGAGTCTTCTCAATCACTAATTACAAAGGGAAAAACAGTAACTTGGAGGTGAAAAACTGGACAGATCCTACCTAAATTAAGTGCAGAATTATCAATAATGGGACAAATGGATATGATCCACTGAGAAGAATATGACATCACTTATGTAGTACTCTGTCAGAAATACATAGGCTAAATTTAATGAGGGAAGCATGAGACAAACCCACATTAGGGACATACTACAAAGTAAGATCAGTGAAGTGATAGCAAATGCTATGTTATTTTGTTTCTAAACACTCTGATGCACTTTGTTCCAGGTTAGAACAGCCCTTTGGGGGATAGCAATAAGTACAATGGATTTGTATGGGGATGTATTAGTCAAATCTCTTGTTTATAAAAAACAAATAACAGCTATCAACTCTGGCTAGTTTAAGGAGAAAAGAAATTTACTAAAAGGATATTGAATCATTGACAAAGTCTTGAGAATAGCTTACAGAGTCCTTAGGATGACTTAAAACATTAAACTTGGAAAATGTCCAGGAACAAAAGGAGGCTGGCTACACAGCTAAAGAGTATATCACAGAGTACATCTAACAGGGACACACCTTGCGTGCCCAGCAGTGCCATCCTGGTCATTGCCACAGTATTCGTCCCTTAGAGCAGAATATTGCTATTTACCCCTTCCCCACTTCTCTGCACCAACAGCTCCAGGTTCAAAATGCCGAACATCTATCAAATCAAGGACCTCAGGTTTTATGCCTTCACCCTAACTTCCAGTGAAGCCGATGTGTCTGTTAGAAGGCAAAACTCCAAAGTGGGGAATTCTTCACACAAGGAAAGGATTTCACATGCTCAGCATAGCCTATCTCCAAAACAAAGTCCTCTATAAGGGACTATAGTTTGTCAGTCAAAATATTTAGTAATCTGTCCTTTTTTCCCCCACTGGTTTTGTTAAGAATCTTTTAAAGCGACTCAGAGTCTCGCATTTCAGTCAGCAGGTCTGGAGTTTGAATATCTATGGACAATTAGCTAATGATGTCTTCCATCACCTTTTAAAAAAATTACATGTGCCATTCTCTGTATAGCTCTAGACACTTAAGTTTTAACACTACAGATTTTCATTCTAAAACCATGTTAACATAGACATAAAAAATGTACCCATAATTGAATAAGCCAGAAAAGTGGAGTAGTAATCTATTAAATTATTTTCTGGGTATGTACTCCCTTCTTAGTTTATATTTAATGGTGAAACCGCACATTGGAACATAAACATTTGAGTTTCATTCTTAACCTGTAACTGTCTCGTACTTTGTGATCAACTTCTAGAATCCACAGCTTGGAACATTCTGTCTTTACTCAAACTAATTTTGTAAACTCATCAATCCGTTGACTAACATTTACTTAATTTATATTTGGATTGTCTAGGTGCTGTAGGTAGATAGGTACTGTCACTCCCTGCATAATAGAAGATATGGTATGTAATGACCACTCATTCAAAATCTACATTCCCATGGTGATTCTGGGAACCAACGTTATTTCATAGCACGTGGGGAGTGAGGTTTTCTGCCTTTTTTTAAAATAAGTTCAGGCTATTTAATAAAGATTCTTAGCATAAATAGGAGTTTCCTTTTCCATCCATTATATGGACTCATTTTAAAGTTGCTTTTTTTCTATTTGTTTAGTTTAATACAGTTTTTTAATAAAATGAAGAAATGGATGGACATGTCAAACCTGCCACAAGAATTTCGTGAACGCATAGAAAGACTAGAAAGAAATTTTGAGGTGTCTACTGTAATTTTCAAAAAATTTGAGCCAATTTTTTTAGATATATTTCAAAATCCATATGAGGAGCCACCAAAGTTACCACGAAGCAGGAAGCAGAGGTGAGACTCTTAATCCTTATATCATTGACATAAAAATTATGATATAAAGTTACTAAGGGAATTTGCATTTTTAAAATTATCATTATTTTAAATACGTTTTTATTGATTTCCGAGAGAGGAAGGGAGAGGGAGAGAGAGAGAGAAATATCAATGATAAGAGAGAGTCATTGATTGGCTGCTTCCTGCATGCCCCCCTACCAGGGATGGAGCCTGAAACCTGGGCGAGTGCCCTGACTAGAATCAAACCGTGACTTCCTGGTTCATAGGTTGACGCTCAACCACTGCGCCACGCCAGCTGGGCAGGAATTTGCATTTTTAAAAATCTACTTTTTACCAGAGGTATCTGTAAAAACTCAAGTTTCTATTAAAATCCTTTTTTGTTTGGTTGGGTTTTGTTTTGTTTTCCAATGACAGCAAAAATAATTTTATCTTTTTTGGGACGGGGGTACTTTTTAAATCATCATCCATTTATTTATTTATTTATTTTAATTTTTTTTTAAAAATATATATCTTTATTGATTTCAGAGAGAGGAAAGGAGAGGGAGAGAGAGATAGAAACACCCATGATGAGAGAGTCATTGGGGATGAGCCNAGAGAGAGGAAAGGAGAGGGAGAGAGAGATAGAAACACCCATGATGAGAGAGTCATTGGGGATTGAGCCCTCAACCTGGGCATGTGCCCTGACCGGGAATCAAACCTCGATCTCCTGGATGCCTAGGTCGACGCTCAACTTGCTGAGCCACGCTTGGCCGGACTATTATTTTTTTTAACTTATTTTATTGTTGACAGTATTACAGATGTTCCTCATTTGCCCCCCTTTACTCTCCTTCCCCCTTCCCTCCAGTCCTTCACCTGTCTATTCTGTGTCTATGGACTATGCATATATGCTTATAAGTTCTTCGGTTAATCTCTTCTTGCCCTCAAATAATTACCCATATTTGGAAATTCAGGGTAATATTTTCTTTCTTTTTTTATGTTCTGATTATTTTATGCAGATCAGAAAGGCTTATTTAAGTTTGTTTAAATTAACCAGAATTCTGTCCTTTCTGAGTGGAATTTTATATGTAATTTGACTTTACTATTGTTATTTATATTTATTGTTTCAATTTAAATGACAGCTGTGGGGTGATATTTAGCAAGTTAATCATATAAAAAGTACATTTTCCCCCCCTTTTTTTAGGAGGAGTCCTTGCAGTGTTAAGGATCTCTTTAATTTCTGTTGGACACTCTTTGTTTATACTAAGGGTAAGGTGATACTTTCAGTGGTTTTACATTTCTATTGTGGTTACTTGGTGCTATTTGATGTGAGAGGTTTCTGCTTTTTATGTCTCTTTTCCTTACAAAGGTAATTTTCGTATGATTGGAGATGATTTAGTAAACTCTTATCATTTACTTCTGTGCTGCTTGGATCTGATTTTTGCAAATGCCATTATATGCCCAAATAGACGAGACTTGCTAAATCCATTATTTAAAGGTAAGAACTTATTTATTTTCGAAAAAGGATTATCAGTTTTTAGAAAAAGAGTTTTAAAAGTTGACCATATTCTTTTTCCCTTTTCCCCCTGTTGCTTTTTATACCCTGTCAAACTAGGTTTGCCCTCTGATTTCCATACTGCTGACTTTAGGGCTCCTGAAGAGCCTCCCTGCATCATTGCTGTACTGTGTGAACTGCATGATGGACTTCTAGTAGAAGCAAAAGGAATAAAGGAGCACTACTTTAAGCCATATATTTCAAAACTCTTTGATAGGAAGGTACTGTACTTATTATTAAATGACTGAGATTTTTAGGGATTAGCAGCAGCAACCTCAAAGGAAGAGACAATGTTTTAAGGACTCAGAGTCAAGATTTCCAGGTTTCGGTCTCTGCTGTGATGCAGAATTGGCCTATGATCTTCTGTGATGTGAGAAACTGAGTCATTGAAGAATGTGACCAACTGTGTGTACTGTCAAGTAAAAATAACACTGTCAGAGACAACTATAGGAGGTTCTGATAAAAAATTATGAAAAACAAAAGGTCAGAGTAAGCTGATTTACTGCCATAATTTGAATAATTCCCTACTGTTTCCTAGAAGTAGGATGGTGTATAACAACTGTAGCTTTAATTCCTTATAAATAGAGCAGAAAATCCCATATAGTTTGGTAGACACTTGCAGGCTATCTGCATGCATTCTGGTTTGTTTGTTTTTCCTTAAGAATTTACCCAACTATTTCTGTTTTTATGAAGTGACTTGTTCCTTTGGAACTCAATTTTTATTTCCCCAATATTTGGCCATTTAATCCGGCTAGAGCCCTGGCTGCTTTGGCTCAGTGATTAGAGCGTCAGCCCGAGAACTGAAGGGGGTCCCAGCTTTGATCCCAGCCAAGGGCATGTATCTCTGTTGCAGGCTTGATCCCTGGCCCTGGTCGGGCACGTGGGGAGGCAACCAGCTGATGTTTCTCTCCCTCTCCTGCTCGCTCTGAAAAGCAGTGGAAAGATGTCCTCGGGTGAGGATAGAAAGTGAAGCACAACGTGGTGGAGTGATCATGCACAGTTGTCCTCCTGCCCGTGGGCCTAGGTGTTTTGCTTGGGCTCTCTTCTTTATTTAATTTTTGTTTTGTACAATTTTTAATTTACATATGAAGACCTTTCATATGAAAACCTTTCAAAATCAGAGGCTGTGGCAATACTGGATTCAATTTCTACATAACTTTACATGGGTACCTATTGTCAAGCTAAATGATGGTCCCCTTTTTGAAGATGGGAAATACTCTTTCTGCTCTCATCATTTATGTATATTGGATTTGGGTTTGCAACTCCTGATGTGTAGTAATCTTAAGCAGTGTGGGTATACAAAAGTATTAACAGTATATATAGTTTTCCTCTCACCAGTAATAGTTCTTATGTTGCCTTTGAATCTTTTGCTTGCCTAACACAGTCAATATGTGTTAGTTTCCTTTCTCCATAGACAGGTGTTTAAAATTGGATAGCTTTCATCAGAATCACTAGGGAAATTTGCTAAAAATGCTACCTCAGCTCAGGCCTTGAGGTCTATCAGTTTGCATTTTAAACAAGTTCCACTAAGTGATTCATATATAACTAAACTTTGGAAACCACCACTGTAGACTAATTTTAAAGTATTTTCAAAACTTGACTTTAGCCCAACTGGTGTGACTCAGTTGGTTGAGCGTCGTCTCATGCACCAAGAGGTCCCTGGTTTGATTCCTGGTCAGGGCACATGCCTGGGTTGCGGACTCAATCCTCTGTAGAGGGTGTGCAGAAGGCAGCCAATTGATGTTTCTCTCTCATTGATGTTTCTATCTCCCTTTCCCTTCCTCTCTCTGAAGCCAATAAAAAGATGATAATAGTAAATTTTAAAAGGCGACTTAAAAAAAAATTTACTTTAAATGTTTTTTAATATTTTATTTGCATGCTGATTTAGTTTTACTGGTCTGAAAGAAATATTTAGTAATTCTGTTTTGTGTTTGTATGATTTATAACAACTACCAATGTGAAAATTTAGGTAAATGTTATGTTTTTATGTGGATGCTAATATGCTTAATTATATGATGTCACATAATGACTTTTTCCCCCCAGATTTTAAAGGGAGAATGCCTCCTGGACCTTTCCAGTTTTACTGATAATAGGTAAGTATCTAACCATTATCTGAAATATTGTATTTAAACTCCTGCTACTTTAGTGACTTGAATGAGTGTTGTCACTAAGCCTTGTTGTTTTTAAGTCATTTATTTTAAGAAACCATTGGCACTTATGACGGCTACTCTCCAGCCTGGCCAGCATGGCTCAGTGGTTGAGCATCAACCCATGAACCGAGAGATCTGAGTTTGGTACCTGGTCAGGGCATTTGCCCTGGTTTCAGGCTCTATCCCCAGTAGAAGGTGTGTAGGAGGCATCCGATCAGTGACTCTCATCATTGATGTTTCTATCTCTCTCTCCCTCTCCCTTCTTCTCTCTGAAATTAATAAAAACATATATATATATTTTTTAAAAGACAGCTGCTCTCCAGGGAAAGTCATAAACAGACCCAGTGACTTCAGAATCTGAGTTTTTATACTTTTATTAATCAAGTGTTTTTATACTTTTATTAATCAAGCACAAATTCAGAATGTGCTTATATTTCAAAGCCACCATTGTTTCCTCAATAATCAGATCTTAATTAGGTTCAACTGGATTTCATATTAAGTATATATTCTTTCACTTGCCTTTCAAAGTAATTTATTGCTTTGTATGTGAATGTGAAGAGTGTTCATCAGATAGGAACCTCTGATATCGTTAGATGAGCAGACTTAATAAAAACTAGAAGGATGCCCTGGCCATTGTGGCTCGGTTGGTTGGATGTCACCCCGTGATTGAGGAGTTGTTAGTTTGATTCCTGGTTGGGGCATATGCCTGAGTTTCAGGCTCAATCCCCAGTAGGGGGCATGCAGGAGGCAACCAGTTGATGTCTCACTCTCACATTGATGTTTTTCTCTCTCCCTCTCCCTACTTCTTTCTAAATATCAATAAAAAATCTTTAAAAGAAAAAAAAGCCCTGGCCGGTTTTGCTCAGTGGTTAGAGTGTTGTCAGAATGTCGGCCTGTGGCCTGAAGGATCCCAGGTTTGATTCTGGCCAAGGGCATGCACCTCGGTTGCAGGCTCGATCACCAGCCCCAGTTGGACTGTATGCATGGGGCAGCTAATTGAAGTGTCTCTCCTACATCGATGTTTCTCTCTCTCTCTCTCTCTCAAAAGCAATGGGAAAAATGTCCTCTGATGAGGATAAAAAATTTTAATGTAACTTAAAACAAGGGGGGAAAAAGACACTAGAAAGTCATCAGCTTTTCCACGCCGTGGAGTCTAAATCTATCTTTAAGTCAAGATAAACCCATTGTGTTTTATTCTGTTACTTAGTTTTATTCTTACAGCTTAAAGTAATTCTCTTTTCAGCAAAGCAGTGAATAAGGAGTATGAAGAATATGTTTTAACTGTTGGTGATTTTGACGAGAGGATCTTTTTGGGAGCAGATGCAGAAGAGGAAATTGGAACTCCTCGAAAGTTCACTGGTGACACCCCATTAGGAAAACTGTCAGCACAGGCTAATGTGGAGTGTAACTTTCAACAACACTTTGAAAAAGTAATATAATCTAGACTGACCTCAGTCTTGAATGATCTTTCTCTTTCTGTGTGTGATTCTACTAACAGCAGAAGCATCTTTCAAGTTAAATCTTGAGTTTCTTCTACTAATTCATATTTCCCATGAAAGCCTTAAAAGGTAATTTTTAAAAACTATGGCATTTAGTATTTTTACCACATTTCTTGCTATTTTTCATATTTCGGATATATTTTCCCAGAATGTCTGGGTTTTTCAGTAGAGAAATGTGTCTTTTGACATAAAGGATTTATGCTTTCTTCCTAATCTTTTTATCACTAGCCACCATTCCATTGCTTTAAAATTTAGTTTGCTTTCCTACCCATGACAAACTATGTGCTCTTCCTAAACTTCAGCCATAAAACTCTGAACTTGATTTTAATAACCAAGGCTTAATTCTATATATAAGTGTAAAATGGGTTGGAGGATAAGGTTTGATGGAAAAGTCACTGGTCTAGAGCAGTGATTTTTGACCTTTTTTTTCATGGCACACATAAACTAATTACTAAAATTCTGCAGCACATCAAAAAATGTATTTTTTGCCAATCTCACAAAAAAATAGATATAATTTTGATTGATTTACAAAAAAATAATAATAATAGTAATTACCTACTCTTTTTGCTCCAAAGTGGCTTTTTAAAAATTCAGGTGTCTGTATATAAGGATTTCTGGCACCAATAATTAATCAGTTAGATACAACCTTATGTGACATGACCAGCAAGTTGCAACTCTGTAATATAACCTATGTATTATGGTTCAAGATGGCATTCATACTAGATGGCATTTGTTGTGTTGGCTGTTGTCTTTGATGTTGGGGTGATGCTGTTGTCATTTTTTAATTTGAGTCTAAGGGGAAAGAGGTCAGTGCCCCTGACTAAATAGTGAGGTATTATTGCATGTTTTGAAAATTCTTGCAGCACACTGGTTAAAATCAGTGGTCTAGAAGAATAGAAAACCTGTTTTAGTCCAAGCTCTGCCATTAACTTTGTCAGCTTAAACAGGTTTTTTAACTGTGCCTCATATGTAACATGAAAATGTATATGTTATTTTTAAGTAAATGTTAGGAAGATAAAATGAGACTATACTTTGAAAGAGTGTTACTCAAATGTAAGGATGTTATTAGCATGATATTGCTAAAAATTTGGTGGGTAACCAACTGGAAGAGGAAGGGAAAAAGTAGCCTACTAAATATGAATAGAAAAGAAAGTATATGTACTGAATTAAACATATAGTAAGGGGGAAGGTAACTTTTTAACCTCACAGATTGTTCTGTTTTGACAGAAAACATCATTTGCACCTTCTACTCCACTGACAGGACGGCGATATTTACGAGAAAAAGAAGGAATCATTACTCCTGTTGCTTCAGCCACTCAGAGTGTGAGCCGGTTACAGAGCATTGTGACTGGACTAAAAAATTCACCAAGCGAACAACTTATAAATATTTTTGAGTAAGTTCAATACTATTATTTTTCTATATGTCTCTTTTAAATTAGATTTTGTATTTTATTCTGTATTCAGTATATTCAGAATTCTTAAGATAGTGGATATACACCTGGAAAGTTTTACTCTACCGTTTCAGTCACAAAGTATGTTGACCTAAAATCAGATAGAAGTACCTATTAAAAATTTCATATCAATATTTATATTTTTATAGACTTTCAAGGTTAAATATATCCGAAAGGTTATTTAGCTCTGACATTCCACTCTTGTAACAACCCCTAAGTTATGCACTATTGTTTTTCTTTTTACATTGACTTTAAATGGCTTCAGTCTGAATGTTTATCAAATGGACGACTAATTACATATTGATGGTGCAGCCATAAAATAGAATTTTATACAACTGTTTAAAAAAAGAGAGATGATTGTAAGAACCTGGTGGGATTCCTGGAGATAAAACCCAGGAAATTTTGGGGGTCCCCCTAAGATTGCAGCCCCGAGTCCTCACACTAGTCCTCACTCAGCCTCTAACAATTCATTAAAATGACAATTTAAGTGTCCTTACCAGTTTATACTCCCTCTGCTTCTACTCCAGAAGTATGGAACAATGGGAGAGCTTTCCTGATCAATAAGGAGGACACTGATAGCTGGGAAGTTTGATACTTGCTCAAATGAGGGTAGCTTTGCTACCTCTGAATTCTAAAAACAACCCTGCCCTTCAAGAGCAACTGAAGTCCTTCAAAGCTGCACTGATTGCCCTTTATCTCCTTGTGTTTATAATTCTCATACCTATCATTGGAATAGTGGCAGGAGATGAGTAAATTAGAGGAGTGTTTGTGCAATGCATCGACACAAATTATGTCTCTGAAAGAAAAACAAGTGCATTTGGAACCGGAAATAAAAGGAGAAGTGAAACTATTGAGTAACATTATTCATGATCTCAGACTGAAAGATTGGGAACATTCTCAGACATTGAAAAATATCACTTTAATTCAAGGTCGTCCTGGACCCCTAAGTGATAGAGATCTCACACTGGAGAAGATGGTCCATGAGGCATAACAGGTCCTCCAGGTCCTAAAGGTGATCAGAGAGCAGTTGGCTTTCCTGGAAGTCAAGGATTCTCAGGACCAGTGGAGAAGACCAGGAGACCAGGAAATCCTTGACAAAAAGGCCAGAAGGGCGGAAGAGGGAGTAGAAACATGCTAAGCCCAGTACCACTCCCTGATCATAGTAGGGCAGGACCCTTTTAAGATCAGGTGGGTTAGATATATTTAAAAATTAAAAATAAAAAAGCCCGGCCGGGAGTGGCTCAGCGGTTGAGTGTCAACCTAGGATCCAGGAGATCGGAGTTCGATTCCCGGTCAGGTCACAGGCTTTGGTTCCGGGCTCAATCCCCAGTTGGGGGCATGCAGGAGGCAGCCAATCAATGACTCTCCCATCATTGATATTTCTATCTCTCTCTCTCCCTCTCCTTCCCTCTTTCTGAAATCAATAAAGATATATTTAAAAAAAAAAAAAAAAAAAGATCAGATGAGTTGGGCGGGACACCTGCTACCATCTCATTAAAAGGCCCCTCACCTCTGGACAAATCATTGGCACACCTGACTCCAAGATCCCTTTGTGGTTCTTACAAACGACCTTGGTTTCTGTGTGGTGCCGTTCATCCTCATGGCTTCCTCTCCTGGTCCTGGGTGGTGCTTGGGCCTCTGCTTTCATTCTCATACCTCTACTCACTCCAGTACCTCAGCATTACTACCAGCCCCTAATATCCCTAACCAGGACACCTTCCATTGGCTGTTCCAACCAGTCCTCAGAGTCAGGCCAGCAGCCCACTGCCACCCAGTCCTCAGAGCCAGGCCAGCAGCCCACTGCCATCTAGTGTCCTACTGAACCAGTTTAACCCATTGGGTTCTAGAAATTTTATGGGTACTGACTTACATGGGCTCTTCACATTAAACACTATTCTCAACCAGCACAATAGGGATGACAAAAGAAAATTTATTCAGCATATGTTTATTGTGCTCCTCCTGGTGCTGGACTTAACAGTTAATAAGGTAGCTGTTGTGTCTGGCCTTACAGAGCTAATTGTCCCTGAAAGGCATAGAAATGTAGACAGGCAATTATATAATACGGCAGAGCTATATTGGAGGAAGAACAGGGCTCTATAGGTGTTTAGAGGAGATCAGGATGTTTAAATTCATTAGAATTTAAAAAGGTAAGTTGATTTTGATTTCCATAGTTTACCTTCTCCAAATTACAGCCTTTTTTTCAAGTTTTATAGTAAGGTAAAGTGAAGTTTGGACAGTTCATTCAACACATTTGAACCAAAAACCAAAACTTGTTTTTTAAATTTCCTGCTCATTTCAAGCAAGAATTTTTTATCAGTGAGGCTGCAAAAAGAAAAAGAAAGAAGAAAGAGAAAAACAGAATTTCATGAAAAAGCTGATAATTTTTTTTTAATTCTAAAATGTTCTTTGTATTTTATGCTTTTTAAATATATATATATATTTTAGTGGAATGTTCATGTTGTTTTTTTTATTTTTAATGTCTTTATTCATAGAGAGGAAAGGAGAAGGAGAGAGAGATAGAAACATCAGTGATGAGAGAGTCATTGATTGATTGCCTCTCACACGCTCCCTGCTGGGGATCAAGCCTGCAACCCAGGCATGTGCCCTGACCAGGAATTGAACTGCAGTCTCCTGGATCATAGGTTGATTCTCAACCGCTGAGCCACACTGGCTGGGCTGTATGTTATGCTTTAAATATCCAGTATAGGACTTGGAGAAAACGAAATATTTCAGTAGAACTAGAGATACTTTGTGTAGGTGAAGAAAGGGCTGAAACAATGAAAAAGGAGAAAAGGTAAGAAAAGGCAGACAAAAAAAAGGAATAGGAAACATGTGGGATTCCATGTTATTTTTAAATGTCTCTATTAACAGGTCACATTTTCACAGCTCTCCTTTCCTTCAAGGTTTAACAATATTGAGTCCTAGGGTTCACAGCATTAAGGTTCTAGTAGAATCCTATGTAGTGTACCTGTATGTATCTCACCACTTTCATTCCCTTCCCTGTGAAATGAATGTCTTAACACCTATCTCACAGGGTTGTGAGGATCACAGAAGATAGTGTGTGTGTGAAGATGTTCTATAAAATCATCAAGTGCTTTGAGCATGTTAAAAGAAAAATAGGCCCTGGACCACTGTGACTTGGTTGGAACATCATCCATGCACAGAAAGGTTGCTGGTTTTGTTCCTAGCCAGGGCACATACCTAGGTCTCAGGTTTTATCCTTAGTGGGAGCACATATGGGAGGCAATCAATCATTGTTATCTCTCTCTCTCCTTTTGCCTCTCCCTCTTAAAAAAAAAAACAAACTAAAAAAAATCAGTAAAACATCCTCAAGTGAGGATTTTTTTAAAAAAAAATAAGAAAGAAAAAGAGGTTAGTTTCCTAGTAAAGATGGAAAAATGAAGCCAGATCAGGGAACCTTCTTTCCTAATACGTAATAAAATAAGAGAAATAATAAAAACCAACGAACTATTTACTAACAGCAACCAAATGAGGAAAGGGATATGATATCATGCTATAAATTTCCAAAGTGTTGGTCAGCAAAGAATTGGGTGATTCTGGTATGCCCATCCCCAAGAAGCAATACTGGGGAAAGAGGGTATGTTGATAGGATCTAGAGAATGCTCGTTAATACCCCAGATGTGGAGAGAAACAAAGGGATGAGTAGGTAATGGTTAAAAAGCCATAGAACCCTATCCAAGTGAAAGTTCCTATATACTACCACCAAGATCTTGGCAGAAATGTGGAAAACTCCCAGGCCTGCCATTTTCGAAGGTTTCATGATAATTTGGGGACATCTTCATAGAACTAGAAGATATCTAGGGAAATTTAATTTAACTAAGTCTTAGAAGAGAAAGCAAAGTCCTGGTCCTCCAACAAAAGCTAAACAGCACCAGCTGAGCTTTACCCCTTCTCCCCAAACCTTTAGTCGACAGAAAAGTGGACAGAACAATCCCCAGCCTCAAACATAGCTCAGAAGATAAGCAGATGACAGTTAAGGTAGGAATACTGTCATGAATATCTTTCTTCATAGCATTTGAATAAATTTATCTGGACTGACTACCCATTTAAGCATGAACAAGTTCAAAAGAAGTGACAAGGCAACTGTGCAAACATTTTATAAAAAATAAGAAAGGAAGAATGAAAACAATGCAAAAGACAACAAAACGCAGCTGGCATAGCTCATCAGTTCATCATCCACCTAGGATCCAGGACGTCGTGGTTTGTTTCCTGGTCAGGGCCCACGCCCGGCTTGCGGGCTCCATTCCCAGTAGGGGGCATGCAAGAGGAGGCCGATCAATGACTCATTGATGTTTCTTTCTTTCTCCTTTCCTCTCTCTGAAATCAATAAAGACATATTTAAAAAACAAAAACAACAACAAAACAGGATGGTACAGTATTGGCATAAAGACAGACATGTATATCCCCAAAATAAATTTTCCTGTATATGGTTAAATATTTGACGAAGGTGCCAAGACTACACTATGAGGAAAGGATAGTCTCTTCAACAAATGGTGTTGGGAAAACTGGATATCCACATGCAAAAGAACAAAGATAGACTGTTAACACCATATATAAAACTTAACTCAAAATGGGTGAAAGACCTAAACATGAGACCTGAAACTATGCAATTAGAATAAAGCATAGGGGGAAAGCTATATGACATTGGAATCGGCAGTGATTTATTGGATATGACACCAAGATTTTAGGTAACAAAAGCAAAAACAGACCAATTGGACTACATCAAACTTAAATACTTCTGTATAGGAAAGAAAATAACCCACAGGTCAAGAAGCAAGCTATTGGAATAGAAGAAGATAATTGCAAACCCTGTGTCAGATAATAGGTTTATAGCCAGAGTATATAGAGAACTACAATTCAATAACAAAACAAAACCAAAAAAATCACCCGGTTAAAAAACGGGCAAAGAGTTGAATGGACATTTCTTCAAAGAAGATATACAAATGGCTACAAGCTTATGAAAAAATTCTCAACACTAATCATCAGGGAAATGTAAATTAAAACCAAAATGAAATATCCCCTCACACTCATTAAAATGGCCACTGTCAAAAACAACTTAAAAAAACACACCAGAAAATAACAAATGTTACCAAATATGTGAAGAAATCAGGACCCTAGCATGCAGCTGGTGGGTTATGAAAGTGTTGTAGATGATGTGGAAAACGGTATTGAAGTTCCTCAAATAGTTAAAAATAGAATTTTTATGATGGAGCAATCCCACTTCTGGGTATATAGCCAAAATAATTGAAAACAGACTCTCAAAGGCAGTTGCACACCTAAATTCATTGCAGCATTACTCACAATAGCTGAGAATTAGAACCAACCTCAGTGCCCTATCAACAGGTGAATGGGTAAAGAAAATATAGTATATACATACAATGGAATATTATTCGGCATTAAAAAGAAGGAATTACTGTCATATGCTACAATATGGATGAATCTTGAAGATGTTTTACTAAGAGAAATCAAAAGACACAAAAGACAAATACTGCCTGATTCTACTTATATGTGGTATATAAAGTAATCAGACTGATAGAGAGTAGAATGGTGGTGCCAGGGGTTGAAGGAAGCGGAAATGGGGAATTGTTCAATGGGAATACAGTTTCAGTCATGAAAGATGAAAAAGTTCCAGAGATCTATTTTACAACAGTGTGCACATAGTTAACAATATGTAATATACACTTAAAAAGTAAGAGGATAAATTTATGTGCTTTTTATAACATTAGGGGGGAAAAAGACAACCTAGTTGGAAGAAAACAACTCGAGGCTGAGCTTTGCCTTAGAACTTGACAAGAAAAACTATTTTTGCTATTACCCTACCTACCTCTCTGCACATGATACTGGTCTGTTTGAACATGGAATTGGAAGTACTGAACCCTGTACTAGATATGTGGCTTTGGGCAGATCTCTTTCTCACAGTCATGGATTTTTTTTGTCATTCCTGAATTAAGACCTGTATTCTGTATTGGAATGATAGAATGGTAACAATAATTTAAAGGTAGCAGGGTTTAATTGCTTCTTGTCAAATGTTTTCCTTTTTGTGCTATATTTTTCTATTTGTTATTCTTTTGGCTTAGGTAAGAACTACATGCAGTTTATATTTCCAGCAGAATATGTGGGGGGGTGTAGGTGTGTGTGTGTATAACCACTGCCACATCATCTTTCTATTTTTTCTTTTTTTTGTAAAAAAATATATACCTTTATTGATTTCAGAGAGAGAGAGGGAAGAGAGAGAGAGAGAGAAACATCAATGATGAGAGTCGTCATTGATCGGTTGCCTGCTGCACAGCCCCAACTGGGGATCGAGCCCACAACTGAGGCATGTGCACTGACCAGGAACCAAACCGAGATCTGGATCTAGGCCAATGCTCAACAGCTGAGCCATGCCCTGCAGGGCTCTGTTTTTTATTAAATCAGCTGTACTGAAGTATAATTTGTATATAATTGTTTCACTGTACAGTTGTATCAGCTTTGACAAATATAAGGTCAAATATAGTGTGTAACCACTGCCATCACAATCACCACCATATAACAGTTTCCTCCCCAAATTTATGCGCCTTTGTAGTCAACCCCTTTTCATTCCTTAGCCTCTGGCAACGACTGACATGTTTTCTGTCTTCATAGTTTTGCCTTTTCTAGAATGTCATAAATATAAGCATGGCCCGGCCGGGCGTGGCTTAGTGGTTGAGCTTTGACCTAGGATCCAGGCAATCGGGGTTCGATTCCTGGTCAGGGCACATGCCCAGGTTGTGGGCTGCAGCAGATCAATGACTCTCAAATCATTGATGTTTCTATCTCCCTCTCTCCCTCTCCTTTCCTCTCTCTGAAATCAATAAAGGTATATTAAAAAAAAGAAAGAAAGAAATATAAGCATGATATAGAGGATGCCAACTCTTCTAAAATTGAAATTCCTAAACAATATGCCAAATTACTTCATTTAGCAGTTGTAGACTTGTTTGAAATATACTGTGTTTACATATCTAGGTTTGCAACTGAGACTAGAACTTTGGTCACTAAAAACCAAACTAATTCTTAAAAAAAGAAATGTTGGTAGGCTGGGTGGTTCTTTTTTTCCTGGTAATTGGTTCCTGTTGTATTTTATAGATCTTGTATGCGTAATCCTATGGAAAATATTATGAAAATAGTCAAAGAAATAGGAGAGACTTTCTGTCAACACTATACTCAATCAACAGATGAACAACCAGGATCTCACATAGGTAAGAAGACAAAACTAAAGTTAACACAATATTAAAAATAGATTGTCCCCCAAAAAAGTAGAAATTCAAGTTTTTTTCCTTCCCTGCTATTCTTAATTTATCAGATTTGAGATTGTATGTTTTGTTCTTTAGTCCTTAACAGACACATTTCATTAGCACATTTTCCCTTTTTCCCCCTATAGACTTTGCTGTAAACAGACTAAAGCTTGCAGAAATTTTGTATTATAAAATATTAGAGACTGTAATGGTTCAGGAAACACGAAGACTTCATGGAATGGACATGTCAGTAAGTAAATCCACTCTGTCAGCCACTAGCAAGGTCCATAAATCTTAAGCCTGGAAGCAGTGTATTGAGAGGTTCAGTAATGCATTGTGGAGGTCAGCGGTTAAGGGCAAACTTAGTCAAGATGACATATTAGTTGGCCTTAGTTGTCTTTGGCACATCAAGAGCTAGCCACCTCTAGGCAGGAATGTGAAGTACGTAAAATTTGTCTTTGGTACACCATCAGTATCCTTTCCCTGTAGGCCCTGTTCTTTGTCCTTCATTCGCAGCTGACTAATATTGGACCCTTCCCCTGACTATCATAAGGTATTTGCCCATACCGCCCAGGGATTTTAGAGGAATAAATTCTTGTTTCTATTTTTTCATTTTCTTTGAACATTTGATCAAATCTGAGTACTTTCTCCCAATAGCTATGCAAAGGAGTTTTTTACAAAGTCAAGCCTATTATACATCAGCTTCATCCCCCTTCCTTTCATCACTCTTGGAGTCTTCTGACCGTCAGCTCCAGTATGGACAGGTTGACACATAGAGGTGCAGCATAACTATTATAAGAAAATCTGTTTCACCCTGGAACATTCCACTCTTTTCTGTGTTGGTTCCTCTTTTTCCTGGATTCCATGTTTTTCATTATTTACGCTAATAGTTGATAGAGCTTATGTTCCTGTAGCTTCATGAGAAAGAAGTAAATTTTCAACTTTTTACTTTGAAATATAGATTTACAGAAAGTTGCAAAAGTAGCGTAGATAGGTCCCATGTACACATGTGCTTCCAGTGGTTACATTTTACATAGTACAATGTCAAGCCAGGAAATTGACATTGGAACAATCTCTCTCTCTCCCCCCCACACATTGTATCACGTGTAGATTTTATAACCACCACCAAAATCAAGATGCAGAACTCTGTCTCTATACCACCATAAAGATCTCCCTCATACCACCCCTTTATAGTCACACTCTCTCCCTTCAGCTACTAATGTTTTTCACTTCTGTACTTTTAATATACTTTTTTTTCTTTTTAATCCTCACCCAAGGATATGTTTTTATTGACTTTTAGAGAGAGAGGAAGGAGAGAGAGAAACATTGATGTGAGAGAAACATTGATTGGTTGCCTCCCATACGTTGCCCTCCATCAGGGCAACCCAGGCATGTGTCCTGTCCAGGAATTGAACCTGCAACCTTTTGGTGTATGGGATGATGCTCCAACCAGCTGAGCCACCTGGCCAGGATTCCACTTCTGTTTCTTTTTAAAAAACTTTTAATATGTTTTTATTGATTTCAAAGAGAGGAAGGGAGAGGGAGAAAGAAACATCAATGATGAGAGAGAATCATTGATTGGCTGCCTCCTGCACACCCCCTATTGGGGACTGAGCCGGCAACCCAGGTATGTGCCCTAACCGGGAATCGAACCGTGACCTCCAGGTTCCTGGGTCAACGCTCAACCACCATGAGCCCCGCCAGCCAAGCTCCACTTCTGTACTTTTATAATACACTCTGTATGAGTTCAGTTTTTTTAACTTTGTTGCAGTTTATTTTATGACACAAGACATGTTTTCTCTTGGCAAATTCTGGGCACTTTAAAATTGTGTATTCTGATGTTGGATGGAGTGTTCTCAAATGTTAATTCTATCCTGTTGATTGATGGTCTTGTTTAGTTCTCCATATCCTTGCTGATTTTCTTTTTTTACGAATGAGGCAATTTATTAACCCAGCATTTGTTCTAATGCTTCTTGTTGGCAGCTGCCACCTGTCCAGCGATTCTGTCCAGATCTCTCTGTCCCTGAGGTGTCAGTTTGCGGCCCCCATCCTGGTCCTTTTCCACCATTTTCAGCCCCTCCAGGGCTTGGAGGACCCGGCGAGCCACACTCTTAGCCTCTGCTAAAGTGGCTGGGCATGACACCATTTCTCCACCGTCCTCCATAGATCTTGGTCATGGAGCCAACCCCAGCACCGCCCCGGAGGTACAGGTGCTGTGCTGTGGAAGCAGCTCCTGTGTAGAACCAATTTTCATGGTAGGGAGCAAGCTCTTTATGCCTGGCCAACTTGACAGTGTCCACCCATTCAGGGACTTTTAGCTTCCTGGACTTTTTGAGGAAGGCTGCCAGAGTTCTGACGAACTCCAGCTGGTTCACGTCTTTTACAGTAACTCCGGACATCATGCGGCCTCCACGCTGCCAGCTAGGGGAAAGGGCCTTGCTGATTTTCTATGTAGTTTTACCAATTATTGACAGAACAGTATTGAAGTCTCCAAATAGAATTGTGGATTATCTATTTCTCCTTTCAGTTCTTTCAGGTTCATTTTTTTATAATCCTCACCCAAGGATATGTTTATAGATTTCAGAGAAAGAGAGAGAGAGAAACATCGATTGGTTGCCTCCCTCATGAGAGCCCCAACAGGGGATTGAACCTACAACCCAAGTATGTGCCCTGACTGGGAATCGAACCTGCCACCTTTTGGTATACGGTACAGTAGTCCAACCAACTGAGCCACCCAGCCAAGGCATCTCAGATTTTTTAAATTCACATATTTTGAAGCTCTGCTGTTTATGCATACAAATCAAAGATTGCTGTGTCTTCTTGGTAAATTGATCCTTTTATCATGATAAAATGTCCCTCTGAATCTGATAGTTTTCTTTTTTCTGAAGTCTATCTGATGTTTACATATAGCCACTCCTGCTTTTTTGATTCATGTTTGCATGGTGTATCTTCTTTCCATCCTTTTATTTTCAAACTACCTGTATTTCTGTCTTTGAAGTGAGTTTCTTGTAGGTAGCATAGAATTGAATCATGTGTTTTAATCTACTCTGTAAGTTTCTTTTAATCAGTAAATTTAGACCACTTACATTTAATTATTGATATCTTAGGGCAGCGATTTTCAACCCGTGTGCTGCAAGAATTTTTTAAACACATAATACCTGACCACTTAGTCAGGGGCACTGACTTCTTTTCCCTTAGATTGCCAAATTTAAAAATGACAGCAGTCAACATGACAATAGCCTTCTGGTGTGAACTAATCAAAAGTATACCTATTTTTTTGTCAGATAAACAAATATATTTTTTGATGTGCTGCAGAATTTTAGTGATTAGTTTGTGTGCCATGAGATGAAAAGGTTGAAAATTGCTGTGTTAGAACGTAAGTCTACCATTTCATTTTTTGTTTTCTATTCTGTTTTTTGCTTCTCTGTTTTCTTTTTTTTTACCTTCCTGTAGATGACTTGAACTTTTTTAGATTGTATCTTTTTGTATTTTTTTTTTTAGTGGTCATTCTAGATATTGCATTATACAGGGTGGGGCAAAGTAGGTTTACAGCCCTGGCCAGTGTGGCTCAGTGATAGAGTGTCAGTCAGCACACCAAAGGGTCTCAGGTTTGATTCCTCATCAAGGGCACGGACATGGGTTGCAGGTTTCAACCCTGGCCAGAGCGTGTTCGGGAGGCAACCAATCAACTTGTCTCTCTCACTTAGATGTTTCTCTCTCTCTCCTTCCTTCCCCCACTTCCACTCTCTTTAAAAATCAATGGAAAAAATATCCTCAAGTAAAGATTAACAACAATTAAAAAGGTTTACAGTTGTTCATATGGAAAATAATATAATAATCAATAAGTGGCCCGGCCGGGTGTGGCTCAGCGGTTGAGCATTGACCTAGGATCCAGGAGATCGGGGTTCGATTCCCGGTCAGGGCACATGCCCGGGTTGTGGGCTGCAGCTGATCAATGACTCTCTCATCATTGCTGTTTCTATCTCTCTCCCCCTCCTTTCCTCTCTCTGAAACCAATAAAGATATGTTTAAAAATAATAATAATAATTAATAAGTAACAATACAAGAATAAAACTGTTTCAAGTACTCACAACTGTAAACCTTCTTTTGCCCCACCCTGTACATACATAACTTCATAGTCCACTGATACAGACATTTTACAAATTCAAGTAAGGTGTGGAAACCTTACCTCACCTTAAGTCCCTTTTTTAAAATTTGCATAATGTTTTTTAGACTCTGTATTTAGAAGTCTAGATTGACAGTCATTTTCCTTTATGATTTTGAAGGCATTGCTCTACTCTAGATTCCAGTGTTGCTAATTAGAAGTGGCATTTTAATTCTCATTATTGGTATGTCTCTTGTGTTTACTTTCTGGAATATCAGTATCCTCTTTTTGTCACTGATCTGAAATTTATAATAAAATGTCTTATTGTGAGTCTTTTCATTCATGTGCTGGGCATTTCTACAGAGTTGTTCTTTTAGTCCCAAAAATACATCCTGCAGCAAGGGGTCATTTTAGTGCATTACTTCTTAGGTAATATATTGGCCACTGATTTATCTCACTGGAGCTTTTATTTTTCAGATGAAGGACATTCTGGATTGATCTTATTTTCTTCTCTTATTTTTCTTTTTTTTTACTTTTTAAAAAAATATATGTTTTTATTGGTTTTTAGAGTGAGAGTAAGGGAGAGATAGAAACATCGATTAGCTGCCTCCTACAGGCCCCTACTGGGGGTCAAGCCCAAAACCTGAGTATGTGCCCTGAACTGAGCGGGAATCAAACCAGTGGTCTCTTGGTGGTTGGCACGATGTTCAACCAACTGAATCACACCGATTGGGCTCTTCTGTTATTTTTCTTTCTTTCTTTCTTTGTCTTTCTGTTTATTTTAGCCATATTTTAATTTCTAAGATCTCTTTCTTTCTCTCTGACGTTATTAATTTAGATTTCTTTGAAGTTTTTTCTGTTGCCTGCATTGTCTGTCTCCTCTGAGTTTCTTTTCTTTTTATTTTGATCTTTGTCTTTCAGTGGGAGGTTTTCCTCAAATGTTGGATTATTATTGTATGTTTACTTATGTTTGAATGAGATGCTAAAAATGACACATTAATAAACCCTTATGTTGACGAACAGTTTGATTCAAAAGCTCTATATGCAAGAGTGGGAATAAAAGTCCACCTGGCCAGTGTGGCTCAGTTGGTTATGCGTCATCCCATGCACCAGAGGGTTGCTGGCTTGATTCCCTGAGCACATGCTCAGGTTGTGGGTTCAATCCCCAGTCAGGCAACCAATAGATGTTTCTCACATCGGTGTTTCTCTCTCCCTCTCCCTTCCTCTCTCTCTCAAATCAATAAAAACATATTTTTAAAAATAAAAACCTACCAGCCTCAGGTGATTATGTAGTATTAGAAACCCTCAACTGTTTGGGGAACATTTTCTCTAGAGAAGCATCCGCTAATCTCTTGCCTCACAGTTGCTGTTGTTGAGCAGAACAAGGAAGGGAAACTTGATATCACAATTCAATCTGCAGGCTTTTGCCCCAAACCTCAGCCTTCTGTGCCTGATGTTCTCAAGTTTTGAGTCCCTCTAGTTCAGTTCTATAGAGAATAATTCTTTAGATCTCTGTTGGGATAGACTAGAGGCCTATCATGTTACTCCTAGAGGGGGGGTTGGGTGGGCTTAGTTCTAATTACAGCACTTTCAAATCACCCATCCATGTTGGCCCCTTGCCCAACCACTACTTCTGTTCTGCCTGTGCTTGTGCTTGCTTTGTCTCTTCTCAGGTTGCATAGAGCAGATTCCTTTGTTATCATTGTCTATCTGCAGGCCCTTGGGTTTGACCAGTCTACTTTCTTCTGAGTAGTTTGTCATTCTTCCATCCACTTCTAGTTTTTATATATTATGGTTTGCAGTTCCAGATGACTCCTAGTTTTCTCCAGAATAGTTTGTTTCTTATTCTCTTTGTTGATTTGGAGTGATATTTGAAAGAAGGATGGCAACAAACGTCCTGTTTAAAACTAAAAAAACTGATGTTGAATCTTAAACTTGATGAAATAAGACTTTATTTTCTTAGTAAAATATTTCTTTTCTCTGAACTTTTTAAAGCCTTAGCTGTGACTTTATACTACCTTTGATTTTAGTATTTTGGTTAGTAAACTCTTACGTTGACAAGACATTGGTAATAAAACTGTCATTAAAAAAAAATTCCTAGTGCTTTTCTTTTAATGGGAATATTGGCTATTTTATTATTTGCTCAATTTTCAAAGCAGATTGCGATATATGCCTCATTTAAATGTATCTATATACATTTAAATGTATCTATATACATTTAAATGAGGATTATATATGAAAAGTTTACCAGTTTGACAATTCAGATTTTTATCTCTGATAATCTAGTACAATATGATATGCACAAGTGATTTTTATCTTGTTTCTATAGTCTTTTTTTATAGAGTAACTAAGGCTGAAATTGCTAGAAATATTAAACTGTGGTCTTTCTCTTCCCCAAGGTTCTCTTAGAGCAAGATATATTTCATCGTTCCTTGATGGCCTGTTGTTTGGAAATTGTGCTCTTTGCTTATAGTTCACCTCGTACTTTTCCCTGGATTATTGAAGTTCTCAATTTGCGGCCATTTTATTTTTATAAGGTGAGATGAAAGTTCTGTTTATGGTGTGCCTCACATAAGAATTCTGTTTATCTTAATTCTGAAGAAACAAGTTGTAGTGATGTTTGGAAAATAATTCCAGAAGTATTCTGAAAACATATATTCCTTTTGGGTGGAATCAAGGACAAAAGGGAAAGAATGAAGGGTATATAATAAATTAAGCCAATCTCACAGCTTTGGTTCTGTTTCTATCTCTGCCTGGCAAATATAACCAGGAACTAAGTAGTTAACTTTGAATTTTCCAAAACTATGAATGAAAATCATAATCCTGGGCTTCCTGTCAAGATGGCAGAGTAGTTCAATGAATGCAGTACTTGCTTCCTCCCACAACCACATGAAAATTACAACTAAAGTACAGAACAACCGTCTTTCAGAACCACCTGAAATCTAACTGAACAGAAGTCTTATAATTAAGGATATAAAAAAAGAAGCCCCATCAAGACTGGTGGGAGAGGCAGAGATGCAGAACAGGCTGGTCCCACACCCATGTTTAGCGGTTAAAATCAGGAGGGATATCTCTGTTGCAGTTTCCCCATGAGGAGCGAGGGGTCCGAGCCCTGCACCAGGCACCCCAATTCAGGGTTCCAATGATGAGAAGTCCCCATAACTTCATAACTTTGGCTCTGAGAACCAATGTTGATTCTGCCTGAATGCGATGGAGGGTTACTGGAGTCCCAGGCAGTTCCTCTTAAATGGCCCGTGCATGGATTTACTTGGACTCACCTCTCTGACCTCCATTGCTGGGTAGCAGCTGGAAAAGCCCCAGGGATGTATGGGGAGGAACTAAATTGTCTAATTTTGGGATCATGGTGGGAAGGACAGCTTTCTTTCAGACAGAATTGCTGGCAGATGCCTTTGCTCCTTTGTGAGCCCTCCTTGCACAGAGCTGGAAGACAGGCACCATATCTAGGTCATCAACCTGACTAACACTGTTTACCCTGTCTCGTTGATTCCCTGAGACCCCGCCCCATACAACTCTGGGGCTCACCCATGCCTTTTCCAGTGGCTTTTCCATACAAATGGCCTGTCTTTGCTCATGCAGCAGACTCTCCTAAAATCTCAAATGTTCTCAAACCCCAAACAAGCAGCAATCAGGCCTTGGCCTACTCTATACCTCTTGCTAAGTGGCCCTAGGCTGAGCACTAGCAGCACCACCCGGCCTCGGTTCCCAACTTGGTCTTCCCCAGGCACCTTGAAGCCCAGCACAAGTAGCAGCCATCTGCATATTGCCCTCTTAGTTCATGCCAGGTGGCCCCAGGCAGAGCACAGGCAGCAGCTGATCTTGACCTGCCACTCATGGGAGGCCTCAGGGACAGTGCAACCAGTAGACAGCTTTAGACCAGGCCAGAGCACCACCCAACCATCTCCATGAGTGACATACTCAACAGGCAGACTCACTGGGTACGAGTCCCGCTGAAGTGAATTTTGCTCCATGAGGTTGGCCCGTGCACAGCAGCTCCACCACTGTAGTCACAGCCAGTTCTCGCAGCCAATTGGCCTAGAGATAAATCCCGCCCATTGACGTGCCAGCAGCAATTAAGGCTCAACTACAACAAGAGGATGCACCTGGAGTCCCCACTTTAGGTAACTGGGGAGGCTGTGCCATTGAACCCTACAGGACACCTACTACATAAGGCCATTCTACCGAGACTGGGAGACGTAGAAGCTCTACCTAGTACATAGAAACAAACACAGGGAGGCAGCCAAAATGACGAGACAGAGAAACATGTTTCTCAAATGAAAGAACATAACAGACCTCTAGAAAACTAATTAAACAAAATGGAGACAAGCAGTCTGTCAGATGCAGAGTTCAAACCAAAGGTGATAAGAATGCTCAAATACTCAGTGAACTTAGGGGAAGACTAGATGAACTTAGTGAGAACTTCAACAAATAGATAGGAAACGTAAAAATGGAGATAGAAAACATAAAAGAGCCAGTCAGAAATGAAGAATATCCCAGCCGGGCGTGGCTCAGCGCTTGAGCATTGACCTAGGATCCAGGAGATCGAAGTTCGATTCCCAGTCAGGGCACATACCTGGGTTGCGGGCTTGATCCCCCAGTTAAAAAAAAAAAAAAAGACTATAATAGCTGAATTGAAGACTACTGTATGTGGAATCAACAGGAGGGTAGATGAGGCAGAAAATCAGAGCAGTGATTTGAGAGATGAGGAAGCACAATACATCTGATCAGAACAGCAAAAAGAAACTAATCCAAAAAAGTGAGAATAGGGAGCCTCTGGGGCTTCAAGTGTACCAGTTCACCTCATGGGTATGCCAGAAGGAGAGGAGAAAGCAAGGAATTGAAAACCTACTTGAAAAAATAATGATGGAAAACATCCCTAAACTGGTGAAGGGAATAGACTTACAAGTTCAGGAAACACAGAGGTCCAAACAAGATGAACCAAAGGAGGCCCACAGCAAGACCTCACAGTTAAAATGCCAAAGGTTAAAGACAAAGAGAATCTTAAAAGCAGTTCTCTATGAGGGAGCTCCCATAGACTGTCAGCTGATTTCTAAACAGAAATTTTGCAGGCCAGAGGGATTGTCACAAAATATTCAAAGTGATGAAAAGCAAGGACCTACAACCAAGATTACCCAGCAGAGCTATCATTTGGAATGGAAGGGCAAATAAAGAGCTTCTCCAACAAGAAAAAACTAAAGGAGTTCATCACCACCAAACCAGTATTACAAGAAATGTTAAAGGGTCTTCTTTAAGAGGAAGGAAAAAATCAAGAATATGAATAATAAAATGGCAATAAATACATATCTACAACAATTACTTTAATGCAAATGGATTAAATCCTTCAATTAAAAGATACATGGAGGCTGAATGTATAACAAAATAAGACCATTTCATATGCTGTCTGCAAGAGAATCACTTCAGATAGACACACACATTCTGAAGGTAACAGGATGGAGAAGGATATTTCATGAAAATGGGAACAAAACAAAAAAAGCTGGGGTAGCAATACTTATACCAGACAAAATAGACTTTAAAACAAAGGCTATAGAACAAGAGACAATGAAGGACCCAGTAATTCCGTTTCTGGGTATTTTTCTGAAAAAACCCAACACTAAATTAAAAAGAGATATGCATCCATATGTTTATTGCAGCATTATTTACAGTAGCCAAGGATATGGAAGCAACCTCAGTGCCCACCAGTAAATGAATGGCTAAGGAAGAAGTAGTGCATATTCTCAGTGAAATATGACATGCATAAGGAAAAGAATGAAACCTTGCTACCTGCAACAACAGGAATGGATCTAGAGCAGCGATTTCCAACCTTTTTCATCTCATGGCACACATTAATTACCAAAATTCTATCACACACCAAAAATATTTTTTGCCAGTCTGACCAAAAAAATCGGTATAATTTTTGTTGATTTACAAAAACAATAATAATAGTAATTACCAACCCTTTATGCTCCAAGTGACTTTAAAAAATCAGGTGCCTATACTTGTACATAAGGATTTATGGTACCAAGAATTAACCAATCATGCCCTGCCTGGCGTGGTTCAGTGGTTAGAGCGTCACCCTGGGAACCCAAGGGTCAGGGGCTTGATTCCCGGTCAAGGGCACATACCTGGGTTGCAGGTTCCAATCCCCAGCCCTGATTGTGGTGCATGCGGGAGGCAACCAATCGATGTATCTCTCGCATCGATGTTTCTCTCTTTCCTCTCCCCGCTCCACCCTCCCTCCCACTCTCTCTAAAAAAGCAATGGGAGAAAATATCCTCCAGTGAGGATTAACAACAACAAAAAGAATCAATCAGACAAAACCCTATTATGTGACATGATCAATACGATGCTACTCTGTTATATGACCTATTTATTTATGGTTCAAGATGGCATTCACACCAGATGGCTATTGTGTTGACTGTTCAATTTTTTATTTTTTTTTACAATTTGAGGGAAAAGAGGTCAGTGCCTTTGACTAGTCAGGTATTGCGTATTCTTCTGGGACACAGGTTGGAAATTGCTGACCTATAGGGTACTGTTCTGAGTGAGATAAGTCAGACAGAGAAAGGCAGATTCCATATGATTTCACTTATATTTGGAATCTAAGAAACTAAACAAATAAGCAGTCCAGAAGCAGATTCATAGATAGAGAACATTTTCCCTGGCTGGTGTGGCTTAGTGGTTAACTGTCGACCTATGAACCAGGAGGTCAGGATTCAGTTCCTGGTCAGGGCACATGCCCAGGTTGTGGGCTCAATTCCCAGTGGGTGTTTCTTTCTCTCTCTCCCTCCCTCTTCCTCTCTCTCTAAAATCGATAAAAACTTTTGTTTTTTTTAATCCTCACCAGAGGATATCAGAGAGAGACATCAATTGGGTGCCTCCTACTCAGTAATAGATCATGCTCCTTTCCCAAATTTGAGCTAATCAGTGTGAATGAATCTTATTTATCCCCTCTTCTGCTAGAACTACTTTTATTTTATTTCTTATACAACATAGAGGTCACAGCTATAGTTAACACTTAATGTTACCTAGTGTTAGGATTTAAGACTAAGGCTACTATTACATTTATTGGCATGATTTAGTTAATATTTTGTCATCTAAGCCTATTGATGATTGAAAAGTTAGTTTTAAGAGTTAAATTTTTATACCTAAAATATGCCCAAAGTTGTAGAAAATGCCAATCACTGGAAAGCTTATCTATTTGAATGAGTGAAATTTAAATATTTTTTTTAGTTTCTTAGGGAAAATTGCTTCTGTCTACTTACTTTAATGTTTATGTGTATGCTTAGCTTTACTATTAGGAAATATATAAAATTTTATTCAGGGGAAAAGTTGTTTTTGCCCTCACCTAATAGCAATTTTTATGACATCCTTTTTCATTTAAGAAGTTAAGTGCCTTTGTTTTTAACCACATAAATAATATACACTCCTTTTTAAAAAACAGAAAATGCATACAAATATAAATATTAAAGTCACATCAAAATTCTAATTATCAATAATAATAATATTAATACTTTGTATACTTACAGACATTGTTCTAGATATTTACTCTTTTAAAAATTTATATGTATTTTTTCCATCACCATTTATGCCCTCTAAGGCCCTCTCCCACCTCCACCCACCCTCCTCCCCCTCAGTCACCTCACTGCTATCCATGCCCATGAGTTCTCTTCTTTTTCTTTTTTACTCAATCCCTTTGAAATGGAATTATAGTACATGTAAACAAAGTTCCTTTTAACTGTATTGTTCATTCTCTCCTTTTGAGCTGTTAGGAGGAATAATGTGAATTTAAAGTAGCAGTGGGCGGGAACCCAGTACCTGACTTCTACCACTGTTGGGCTGTCAACCAGTTTTCACCCATCGTCTCAGTTTTCCATTTGTAAAGAAAACATGAAAAACAGAAATGGATGTGAACGTATTTTGAAGATTTTAAAAACTCCTTCAGCTCTGGCCGGTGTGGCTGTTGGTTGGTGTTGTACCAGACACCGAGACATCAAGGTTCAATTCCCTGTCAAGTCACATGCCTGGGTTACCAGCTCAATCCCCAGTTAGGGTGCTTGCAGCCAGTCAATGTTTCTCTCATCAATGTTTCTTTCTCCTCCTTTCCTCTCTCTCTAAAATCAATAAAAACATTTTTAAAAAAACTTCAAAGATATCCTTGATTCTGTGTCATTAATAAGACAGAGCTAGTCATACATGCAATCAGTCTAAAACTAATTGCTTGAGACTGCATTACCTTCTCAATTTCTTGTCTCCAGGTTATTGAGGTGGTGATCCGCTCAGAGGAAGGACTTTCCAGGGACATGGTGAAACACCTGAACAGCATTGAAGAACAGATTTTGGAGAGTTTAGCATGGAATCACGATTCTGCACTATGGGAGGCTCTCCAGGCTTCTGCAAACAAGGTTCCTACTTGTGAAGAAGTGAGTCAGGGCAAGGCTGATAATCTTGTATTTTATAAAATAACAGCTTTATTGAGATATAATTCACATACCATACATTCACCGATTTAAAGTGTACATATCAGTGGTTTTCAGTATCATCATAGATATGTGCAGTCATCACCACAGTAAGTTTTGGAATGTATTTGTCACCTCAGCAAGAAACCATGCCTTTTAGCTATCACTTTCCTGATCCCTGTCCTTTCCCTAGCTCTAAACAACCAGTAATCTTTCTGTCTCTACTCATTCGCCTCTTCTGTACATTTCATATAAATAGAACCATACATTGTGTCATATTCCTTTGTGATTGGCTTCTTTCACTTATGTTTTTTTGTGTTTTTTTAATGCTAACCTGAGGATATTTTTTTCCATTGCTTTTCACAGAGAGTGGAAGAGAGGGAGAGGGAGAAGGGGAGAGAGAGAGAAATATTGATTGGCAGCCTCTGACATGCACCCAGACTGGGGCCAGGGATTGAGCCTGCAATCGAGGTACATGTCCTTGGCTGGAATCGAACCTGGGATCCTTCAGTCTGCTGGTCGACACACTAATAACCACTGAGCCAAACTGACTACGGCTCAGTTAGCATGTTTTCAAGATTCATGCATGTTGTACCTACCAGCACTTCATTCCTCTTTGTGGTTTAATAATATTCCATTGCATGGATATATCATTTATCAATTGATGGACACTTGGGTTGTTTCTACCTTTTGGCTGTATGAATAATGCTGCTATGAACAGTCATGTACAAGTTTTTGTGTGGACATACATTTTAAGTTTTCTTGGGTATATGTCTAGGAGTAGAATTGCTGGGCCATATGGTAACTGTTTAAGCTTTGGGGGAACTATCAGACTGTTTTCCAAAGTGGCTGCACCATTTAACTTTCCCACCATGAGTTATGAAGACTTCAGTTTCTCCACATCCTGTCCAACCCACTTACCTGTCTTTTTTATTCTAGCCATCCTAGTAGGCATGAAGTGATATCTCATGGTTTTATTTGCATTCTCATGATGACTAATCTCCAACATATTTTCATGTGCTTATTAACCATTTATATATCATCTTTGGAGAAATACTTATTCAGATCCCATGCCCATTTTTAAATTGGGTTATTTATCTTTTTATCATTGAGTTATAGGACTTCTTTATATATTGTAGATAGAACTCTTGTATCCAACATATGGTTTGCAAAACTTTTTTCCCATTCTGTCAGTTGTCTTTTTACTTTCTTGATGAAGTCCTTTGGAATACAAAAGTTTTTAATTTTGATGATGTCCAGTTTATTTTTTTCTTTTGTTGCTTATACTTTTGGTGTCATATCTAATAAACCATTAATTCCATCATTTTTAATTTTTCAAATATCTACATAAAGAATTAAATACTTTTTATTAGTAGTATTTAGGATAAAAAAGCCAAAACTTTGTGACTAATACCTAAAAGTAACACATTTAACATGTTTGTATCATGTGAGAAATTGAGGTTTTTCCTCCACCTCTGTGTTATTATTTTGTAACTCTTATCTTTTCATTTTTCTTTGTTGCTTTTCTGTGTCTCCTTATACTTTAATCTTGAGGTTTTTTTCCCTAATTCCGAACTACTAAAGGAACTTCCAAAACCAGAAAGAGCTTAAAAGAAAATGGTTTCTTGAAATCTCTCTTCCATGTATGTGTCTTTTGTCTTTTGCAGCACTAATTAATGACCAATCTTTAGTATTCATCAATATTTCCATTATAGAATCCATTGGGAAAGTGCAAAAAAAAAAAGCTATGCATTTGAAAGAAAAGGGTTTGAGTTGAGGCTCTTGATCTATTACTTAGTAGCAGTGTGTCCTTGGGTAATCTCATTTTGAGCCTCAATTTTCTCATCCCTAGGTGGAGAGTTGTAGTGCCTTCCTCATAGGTTTACTTCTAATTGTCAATGAACTTAAATAGATAAATTATAAGATTAAGTGAGATGAATTCTACACACAATTTAACATTAACTATTAATCACATTTTGTGAAGAAAAAAGGAAAGGGAAATTACATAGTAAAAGAAGTTAACATTTTTCTCATGTTTTCTGTTACAAGTTTTTATCAGTAGGTTTATCTGTATGTAAAGCAAAGGGCTTTTGTTTTCAACAGGTTATATTTCCAAATAACTTTGAAACAGGAAATGGGGGAAGTACACAGGGACATCTTCCCATGATGCCATTGTCTCCCCTAATGCATCCACGGGTCAAAGAAGTTCGGACAGACGGTGGAAGTCTTCGAAGGGGTAGGTTCAACATTGGCAAAACGGTGAAAATAACGAAGATCATGTTTTCAGAGAAAATTTCAAGTCTTATTAATATATTTTAAATTTCTTCATCAAGATTTGCCCGGCTGGGCGTGGCTCAGCGGTTAAGCGTCGACCTAGGATCCAGGCGATCAGGGTTCAATTCCCGGTCAGGGCACATGCCTGGGTTGCGGGCTGCAGCCGATAAATGACTCTCTCATCATTGATGTTTCTATCTCTCTCTCTCCCTCTCCTTTCCTCTCTCTGAAATCAAAAAGATATATTTAAAAAAAAAAAAAAAGATTTAAAGGGGACTAATGCTTACCTCAGCCTCCTAGTGTGGCTCATTCTGTACACTTTTCTTTAATCCTCCCCCAAGGATATTTTTCCCATTGATTTCTAAAGAGTGGAAGGGCGGGAGGAGCGAGGGAAGAGAAACATCTGCATGAGAGACACACGGCAATTGGTTGCCTCCCGTGTGCGCCCGGGGAACCTGCAACCAAGGTACGTGCCTTTGACAGGGAGTTGAAACTGCAACCCTTTGGTCTGTGACCCTTTGGTCTCTAACTACTGAGCCAGACTGGCTGGGGCTCATTCTATACTTTTTTATGTTAAGGTAAAAAGATTTCCAATCTGATTTTTAATATAATTATTTTTCTTAATTGCAGTGTCAATGTGAAAATAGTATTGGGCCTTTTAATAAACACACATGTCCTTTCCCAAATGATAGTGAAAAACTCTTTATAAGCTAAATCCCTGCTTTTCAGATGTGATGGAAATTATGTTCCCTTTCTCTATGTATGTCTCTATAGAAAGATAAGTATTTAAAGCAAAGCAGAGAACTCTTTGGTGTGCTAAAGTTCATCTAATGAATGACTTATTTATACTTTCTTAAAATAGTTCATTCAAACCTTACTAATAGGAAGATTTGAGTGCATCTTATCTTCTCTTGTGATAGAACAAACTGATACGTACATTTTCTGAATTATGTAAGAACTTATTTCAGGCCTCTCTCTCCCACTAGACTTGATTTGAGCTACAGTGGACAGACACTCAATAAAAATTTAATAATATGTTATTAAGTTTTTATTGAGTGTCCATTGTAGCTTTTTCAGTACTGTGTAAAGGAAAAGATGATTTCAAGGGATTTGCAGCTAACTTCAAGGCTATAACGTGAGTCCTCTTTTGAAACGTAAGCTTTAAGCATTCCTAGCTAGATTCAAGGGCTGCCTTGGATTTCCTAGATAGAAGACATCCAGAGAGAGTCCTATTAAGGGGTAACAGGAGTAACAATAGAACTTTGCACTTGTTAACTGAGGACAGGAGTCAGAGCTGCTTTCATAACCCCCAGAATTATGGAGCAGTATTTATCAGACCATGACTATTTCCTTTTGTACCTTTTAAGCATATCTTGAAAATAGATTACATGACTGTCTAGTGAAAGTAAAAATAAATAATGACATGCTTTTACTTTAAAAACATATTCTATACCTTTAAAGAAACAATGGATTGGGGCAAGTGGGGAAGAATTGTGGGGAAAAAATGTAGAGCTGTAGGAGGCTAGAAAAACCTTTTCACCTAGTGGTGAGGGAAAGGAGAGCAGCTCCTGCAGGATAGCACTGGAAGAGAGACATAATTTATACCCTAACTTTCTTTTTAATCAACGTACTACTGCCAACCCTCAGATTAAGACAAGTTAAGCAATATTATCACCTTTACTCATCTTCATTTTATAAAATATGATTTTGTACCTACTGAATTAGAAAGCTGCAGCATTGCCTTAAACTGCTACAAGTGTGGGGCATGGGAGGTGAAGGCAAAACTGTGAACTGAATAACTGAGTTTTCCTTCTTCTTAAGTGTTAGTTATTAGATGAGATTGGAAGGCAGAAGCTGATGAGACCACTACTTAAATCTAGTGGCCACCTCATTCTCCCTCTTAGTTCACTGGCATTTTCACCTTTTATTGTAAGGACTTATTTCAGACCTCTCTCTCCCACTAGAGTTGATATGAGGACACATTCCTAGTGCCTGGGATGGTAACTCGGTATCTTTTTGTTGAATGAATGAGTGAACCTGGTTCATTATTTTAGAATACAGATCAAACTGTTTTAAATTAAATTTATTTTTCTCTTTATTAGATATGCAACCATTGTCTCCAATTTCTGTCCATGAACGCTACAGTTCTCCTACCGCAGGGAGTGCTAAGAGAAGACTTTTTGGGGAGGACCCCCCAAAGGAAATGCTTATGGACAGGATCATAACAGAAGGGAAAAAACTGAAGATTGCTCCTTCTTCAAGCATTACTGCTGAAACTATATCAATTTCACCTGGGCAAAGTCTTTTAACAATGGCCACAGCAGTAGTAACGGGGACAACAGGACATAAAGTTACAATCCCATTGCATGGTAACATTTTAATGCATTTACTTTATATTTTTTCTGAGTTGGATAAATTTTAAGAAATATCTTGCTGTATTGGATCACATGGCCTTGCTAACCCAGTATTTTTTCTTGAACCTAAAAACTTTATTTTTACTTTTTAGAGCATTTTTATGCTTACAGCAAAATTGAGTGGAAAGTACGGAGATTTCCCATATACCATCTGTGCCCCCTGCACCCACGCAGATTCTCTCACCATAACACTCCTGCACCAGAATGGTGCATTTGTTACAACTGATGAACCGTCATTGACACATTATTATCCTCCCAAGTCCAAAGTTTACATTAGGGTTCACTTGAAATTGTATATTCTATAGATTTGACAAATGTCTAATGACATATATGGACCATTATAATATTATACAGAATAGTTTCACTGCCCTAAAAATCCTGTGCTCCACCTTTTCTTTTGTTTTGAACCTATACTTTTTTTTAAAATGTTCACATTTTATAAATTTACTGCCCTTCTTGTTAGCACTTATTTTCTTAGCTTTATAAATGAGTATATTGAACAAGAATTTTGTTTTTGACTAAGAAGTCTCCTTAAGAGCTCAAAACAAAACAGAGCAGAAATAGAAAATAATAATGTTATTCCTAGAATTACTATTTTGTGGCTTTCCTCTTTTTTCTAACATATTCCTATGCTTATACACATGTTAGATAGATATAATTGACAACTTTTCTGGAACATGTGCAGCTTTTTCTAAAACAGAACTCTTGCTTGTACACATAGGTATTGCAAATGATGCTGGAGAGATTACACTGATACCAATTTCCATGAACACAACTCAGGAGTCCAAAGTTGAGAGTCCTGTATCACTTACTGCTCAGTCATTAATTGGTGCTTCTCCAAAACAAACCCATCTGACTAAAGCACAAGAGGTACAACCAACTGGAATAAGCAGACCAAAAAGAACTGGATCCTTAGCACTGTTTTATAGAAAGGTACGTGTTTTTATAGTATCTAAAAAAAATCTCATTTAATCAATGCAAGAAAAATTGAGTAACAGCAGCTTTAGCTTTCTTTTTTGTGTGTGTGGTAAAATATATATAACACAAAATTTATTATTTGAACCATTTTTAAGTGTCATTAAAAGTGTATTCACCATCCATCTTCAAACATTTTTATCTCCTGTACTGAAATCCTATGCCCATTAAACAGTAATTCCCCATTCCTCTTTCTTCCCCCGCACCCCGACAACCAGCCCCTGGTAACCACCATTCTACTTTCTATCTCTATGAATTTGACTACTCTGGGTACCTCATTTAAGTGGAATCATACAGCATTCATCCTTTTGTGGCTGGCATATTTCACTTAGCATGTCTTCAAGATTCATCCACATTGTACATGTGTTAGAATTCACTTTTTTTTTTTTTTTTAATATATCTTTATTGATTTCAGAGAGAGGAAAGGAGAGGGAGAGGGAGAGATAGAAACATCAATGATGAGAGAGTCATTGATCTGCTGCCTCCTGCACGCTCCCAACTGGGGATCGAGCCTGCACCCCAGGCATGTGCCCTGACCGGGAATCGAACCCCGATCGCCTGGATCCTAGGTCAATGCTCAACTGCCAAGCCACGCCCGGCCGGGCCCCTTCCTATTTAAGACTAAATAATATTCCATTATGTATAAATAATATATCATATTTTGTTTATCCATTCATATGTGATTGACATTTGGGTTGTTTCTACCCTTTGGATATTGTAAATAATGCTGCTATGAACAAATATCTAAGTCTCTGCTTTCAGTTCTTCTGGGTATATACCCAGGAGTGGAATAGTAATTCCAAATTAGTTTTTTGAGGAAATGCCATGTTACTTTCCACAGTAACTGCACCATTTTATATTCCTGCCACGATACACAAGGATTCCAATACTTATTTTCATGGTTTTTAAAATAATAGCCATTCTAATGAGTATCAATCACAATAGTTTTAATTTGTGTTTCCCTAGTGATTAGTGATGTTGAGCATCTTTTCATGTCCTGCTTGTCTCTCTGTATATCTTTTTTAGAGAAATGTCTACTCAAGTCCTTTGTCCATTTTTCATTTGAGTTTTTTGTTGTTGAGTTGTACTTCTTTATAATCTCTGAATAATAACCCCCTTAGATACATAATTTGCAAATATACCCTCCCATTCTGTAGGTTTCCTTCTCACTCTATTGACCAGGTCCTTTGATGCACAAAATTTTAAAATTTTGATGAAGTCCAATTTAACTGCTTTGTTTTGTTGTCTTATGCTTTTGGTGTCATATCCAAGAAATTATTGCCCATTTCAAAATCATGAAGCTTTTCCCCTGTTCTCTTCATTTTCAGTTAATTTTATATATGGCGTAAGGTAAGGATTCCTTTTCATCCTTTTGCATGCGGATATCCAGTTCTTTCAACACCATTTGTTAAAAAGACTGTTCCTGCCCCATTGAATGGTCTTGCTCCTTGTCAGTGCTCATTCAGATACATATTTTAGATTTGTTTTGGGGCTGTTCTGTTTATTGGCCTCTTCATGTCTGTTTTTATGCCAGTACTATACATTTGATTACTGTAACTTTGTAGTAAGTTTTGAAATCAGGAAATGTGAGCCCTCCAACTTTGTTCTTTTTCAAGATTATTGAAATCAGGAAGGTTTTGAAATCAGGAATCGTGAGCCCTCCAACTTTGTTCTTTATTTTCATGATTATTTGGCTTTTCAGTCCCTTGAGATTCCATGAGCTTTAGGATGGATTTTTCTATTGCAGAAAACATCATTGGGGTTTTCATAGGGGTTGCATTGAATCTCTAAATTTCTTTGAGTAGTCGTAACATCGTAATATTAAGTCTTCCATCCATGAACATGGGTACTTTTCCATTTATTTATGTTTCTTTTATTTTTTTAACAATGTTTTGTAGTTTTCAGTGTAAAAGTCTTTTGCTTTCTTGGTTAAGTTTATTTTATTCTTTTTCATAAGTGGAATCATTTTCTTAATTCCATTTTTGGATTGTTCATTGTTAGTGATGTAGGAATGAAAGTGATTTTTGTGTGTTGATTTTGTATCATGCAACTTTGCTGAATTTATTTTTTCTAATAATTTTTTTATGGACTTTTTAGGGTTTTCCAGTTTTCTATACATAAAGTCATATAATCTGTGAATGGAGTTGGTTTGACTTCTTTTATAATTTGGATGCCTTTCATTTCTTTTTCTTGCCTAATTGCTCTGTCTAGAACTTCCATACTGTGTTGAATAGAAGTGCTGAAATTGGGCATCCCTGTTTTGTTTCTTAGAGGAGAAACTTTCATTGTGTCACTTTGAGTATATTAGCTGTGGATTTTTCACATATGGCATTTCATATACAGTATGGCATTTATTATGTTTTCTTCTGTTCCTTGTTTGTTGAGTGTTTTTATAAGACAAGGGTATTGAATTTTGTCAAATGCTTTTTCTGCATTAATTGAGATAATCATATTTTTCTTCATTCTATTAATGTAGTGTATTACACTAATTTTCATATATTAAACTATCCTTACATTCCAGGCATAAATCCTACATGGTCACAGTGTAAGATCTTTTTAATGTATGCTGTTACATTCAGTTTGCCAGTATTTAGTTAAGGATTTTGGTACTATTCAAAAGAAATAATTGTCGGTAGTTTTTTTAACCTTTGTTTAACATTAGTATCAGGTAATGTGCCTTTAGCCTTTTAAAACACATATGTGACCTCTTAAGAGAACATTATGATCTTGGTGAGTTATGTTTGGACTCAGGCTCATATGGTTTGACTTCATTTCCTGATATAAATTATGTCTCCTGTCAGCTTGTATTCTCTCTCTTTTTTTTTTAAATATATCTTTATTGATTTCAGAGAAAGGAAAGGAGAGGGAGAGAGAGACAGAAACATCAATGATGAGAGAGTCATTGATCGAGCCCGCAACCCAGGCATGTGCCCTGACCGGGAATTGAACCCCAATTGCCTGGATCCTATGTCGACATTCAACCGCTGAGCCACGCCCGGCCGGGCTCAGCTTGTATTCTTACATAACTTCTTATTACATAAGCAGTTGACCATCCTCTGGAATTTACTCAAATTCCATTGTGTTATGTTGCTTTAGATGGGAGTTTATTATGGGAAAATTACATCTTAGATCTTATGGATAAGCTTAAATTCCTTTACTTACAGTTAATCAGATATTTGTAACCAAATATGACTTTTCTCTAAAAAAAAAATACATATCCCAGAACTGGAAGATAATTCTCTAATCAACAATTAGATGGCTGGCTAACCCTTTTTTTTTAGCCCATTCTTAAGAATTGTAAAAGAAAAAGAAGGCACTCTGTTTTGTTTTCTTCTAGTATTGTAATTAGGATTTAAGACTTTAAAAATTTAAGAAATTCATGATTTTTCCAAATTATCTTTTGATGCAACTCAAAGTTTATTTCTTCTAGTCTTTTTTCTAATAATTCTTGAGAGACTTGCCCTTTCCTCTACCTCTCACTACCTTCTCTACTCTGCCACCTACACAACTACTGCCTGCCTCTTATGCCTGTCAAAGGCCCATTTTTTATGTGTGTGTGGTTTTTTTTTAAATATATCTTTATTGATTTCAGAGAAAGGAAGGGGGAGAGAGAGAGAAACATCAGTGATGAGAGAGTCATTGATCGGCTGTCTCCTGCACGCCCCTCACTGGGGATGGAGCTCGCAACCCGAGCATGTGCCCTGACCAGGAACTGAACTGCGATCCCCTAGATCATACATAAGTTGATGCTCAACTGCTGAGCCATGCCAGCTGGGCCAAAGGCCTGTTTTAAAAACAGTTTCAGCCCGGCTGGGCATGGCTCAGCGGTTGAGCATTGACTTAGGATCCAGGAGATCACAGTTCAATTCCCGGTCAGGGCACATACCCGGGTTGCGGGCTCAATCCTCAGCAGGGAGCGTGCAGGAGGCAGCCAATCAGTGACGACTCTCTCATCATTGATGTTTCTCTCTCTCTTCTCTCTTCCTCTCTCTGAAATCAATAAAGATACACTTTTTTTAAAAATTACCATTTAAAAATAATAATAAAAACAGTTTCAAGTGCATTTTCCCTACTCATTCCCTATTTTTAAAAATATTTATTGATTGCTTTTTTTAGATAGAAAGGAAAGGAGAGAGAGAAAAACATCAAATTGTTGTTCCACTTATTTATGTATTCATTGGTTGCTTCTTGTATGTGTCCTGATGGGGAATCGAGCCCTCAACCTTGGCATATTGGGACAATTCTCAATCAACTGAACTACCTGGCCAGGGCTTCATTTCCTATTTTAATTTTCAAAATGGCTACTGCCTTTGATAATGAATCTAAAATTAACAAAGGCCCGGCTGGGCATGGCTCAGTGGTTGAACTTCAACCTAGGATCCAGGAGATGCCAGTTTGATTCCCAGTCAGGGCACATGTCTGGGTTGCGGGCTTGAGCCCCATTCGGGGGCCATGCTGGAGGCAGCCGATCAATGACTCTCTCATCATTGGTGTTTCTCTCTCTCTCTCTCTCTCTTTTCCTCTCTGAAATCAATAAAGATTTTTTTTTTTTAATTAAAAAAATTAAATTAACAAAGATACGGCTTTATTTCTGAATTTTTAATTCAGAATTTATTTCAGAATCTAGCCTGTCCTTTTTCTTTCATTTAATAATAGCCTACTTGTACAGATTAGAAGCTAGAAAATTTTATCCTAGAGGGAATAGGATGTCCATGTCTATAATTAATTTTAAATGACCACTTCTTGAGTAAATTGCAGCTACTATCCAAACTGAATTTACTGTGATGTTGGTGTTTTATACCTAAATAGAATTTACTGTCAACTTTTTGTTAGAATCAGAAGCCTTCCGGAATATGCATATCTTTAAGGCCTTGAATCAGCTCTGTAAAAGACACCTAACAAGTATTACTTAATTACATACTATATTTAATCCTAGCTAGAGTGTATGTTCTATCAGGAATGTAAAGTTCTAGCCTCTTTCTCACTGCTCTTACCCCAGTAGTTCTAGAAACAAAGGGATGGGATGCAGAAAATGAGTTGCTATAAAGTGACTCACCAGTAGTTTTGGAGTCAACCACTTGTTTCTCTACCAGAGTAGTGTATTGGATAACTTACATTTGTTTTTCAGCTCAAGTTTGTGGATTTTTTTCCCTTCCAAAGATACTTTTTTGTAAGTAATGCCTTATGCTTTTTTCATTTTTTCCCTTGAACATTTAAATTTAAAGACTTAAACAGAATAGTCTAGTTTAGAAATACCACAGCAGAGTTACCAATTCTTAAAACAATAAAACATAATGCTTCTAGATGATTAGAAACCATTTTAGAATCTGCTTTGTGTTAGTATCAATTCATATAATAATGTATGTGTATACTTTGTGTGTGTGTGTGTGTGTGTGTGTGTGTGTGTGTGTGTGTAAAAGGTTCAGGGCATTACACTGAATTTACTCTGACATACTTAAAAACAAAACATTCCTTTCATGTGTTCATAGAAAGAGTATAGACTGTATGGGAAATTGTTTAAATGGGTTTGCTTTCTGACTCATTTTTCTAGTCAAACATTCATTTTAGTTCTTTATTTTCTGACATTTTAGGTTTTCTAGCAATTTTACCTGAACCAAAAGAAAAAAGATAGATCTGATCAGTTGAAAAATTATGCATTCATAATGGCTGTAATCCAGTAAATTCTACATTTTAGTGTTTCTTACTTTATATAGATGGCAGCATAAAGTAGCCGAAGACATCTTTTCAAAAATAATTTTTAAGGTGTCCTGGCTGGTATGACTCAGTTGGTTGGGCATCACCCTGTGCACTGAAAGGTTGTCGGGTTCAATTCCTGATCAGGGCACATGCCCAGGTCGTGGGCTCGATCCCTGGTGGGGGGAGGTGCAGGAGGCAGCCGGTCGATGTTTCTCTCACATCAATATTTCCCTCTCTCTCTCCCTTTCCCTTCCTTTCTCTAAAAATCAATAAAAATTCAAAAAAATAAAAATAAAGTAGCGTGGATGCCATTTTAAAATAGTAATGATAATAATAATTTTTAAGGTAGTTTTTTAAAGAGGATTTTGTTTTAACCTATATTCTTCTGCCATAGCAGTGAACTCCCACTATAGAATAGAAATTTTATGTAATTTAAGATATCTACTGCCTAGGTGCTTATTAATCTTGATCTGAAAGCCTGTGTTCATGGTAAGACATAAATTTAAGAAATTATTTTTACTTAGTTTTTTGCATCAATGTGCTACCTTCCATCTTAGGTCTATCATTTGGCAAGTGTACGCTTACGTGATTTATGTTTAAAACTGGATGTTTCAAATGAGTTACGAAGGAAGATATGGACGTGTTTTGAATTTACTTTAGTTCACTGCCCTGACCTAATGAAAGACAGACATTTGGATCAGCTCCTCCTGTGTGCTTTTTACATCATGGCGAAGGTAATGTGTAAGTTGGGGGAAGTTCTTGGCCCTAGTTGCCTATCTTTGAAGCATGAGGTAAAACTCTGTTGCACTTGATCCTTGGTTTGCCTTAAGTGCTATAAGCTAACAGTGCCCATCATCACTGATTAAGTAGTAAATTCCAGCTACTGTATCTGTTCTCTGGATTCTCCATTTAGTGTTGTCATCATCAGCCTTCCCACTCTATAAGTATACATTGGTTGTAAAGAAGTTGGGAAAGGCCCTGCCGGGCGTGGCTCAGCGGTTGAGCGTCGACCTAGGATCCAGGCGATCTGGGTTCGATTCCCCGTCAGGGCACATGCCCGGGTTGCGGGCTAGATCAATGACTCTCTCATCATTGATGTTTCTCCCTCTCCCTCTCCCTCTCCTTTCCTCTCTCTGAAATCAATAAAGATATGTTTAAAAAAAAAAAAAGTAGCTTCTGTGACCTTCCTTTCCCGTGACCTACTGTGCCTCCTCTGAAGAACAGTTTGTTGTCCAGTCGCTACAGGATGTTTTAGCTTATAAAAGCGCATACCTTGTTTTTTAAATTTCTGATATATCTGAAACAATCATCTCTAACGTTGGTCTTAACCGAATTGACCACGCTGGCAGTCTTAGCAGACATACATAGTTAAGACCTAATTTTTAAGCTTTTTGAGTCAGAGGAAATGTTTTCAAATTCCTTTGTGGCACCCATTTCACAATGCCTCACAAAATAGGTATTAATTAATGTTTTTGACTAATCATTTGTGTTTTCTAGAGAACTATCAGTTCAGGCTTTGCCATTTCTAGCTCAACATTATGGAGAACAGATTAAGTGCTAATACACAGTAAAGCAGAGGGAAAGAGTCTTTTAAGTGAACTTTACTGATAACAAATAGACCAGAATATATTCCTTTATGGATCACTAACCCATTTTCTTCCCTTTAGCCACCACTGTGACTTTTTAGTCTAAGCATTAGAAACCATACAGTCTCTCCTGACATATTAAAAACCTAATTTTATGATAACCACTCATTTTTATTGTAAATCACCACAAGGCATTTTCTATCATTTAGTATGTAGTTAATTTACTTTTAAATACTTAAAAACTAATAAAACTGGAGACTGTGATTCAAAAGGTCTGAATTTTCTTGTATCATTCTTTTTATAAAGAAAGACATTTTCAGTAAAGTTATACCATAGATTAATGAAACTATTAGCTGAGTCCCCACAGGCCACAAAGCCTGAACTTTAAAGGTAGTAAAAATCATGTATGGTAGTGATTTTTAATCATGGACTTGCCTGAGGTTAAATGGCTTTCTGCAAGAGTGCTCTCAATGCCAGCCTATAATTGAAGTGTTTGTTCAGAGCCATTTTTCTTTTAGGAGCAATTGATAAATGCAGTTTTTCTTTTCCTTAGGTAACAAAAGAAGAACGAACTTTTCAAGAAATAATGAAAAGTTATAGGAATCAGCCCCAAGCTAATAGTCACGTGAGTAACATTATTTTTCTTGTTTTCCAAAAATAGATTTGTACTATTTCTCTAATGAGAAGTCATATAAAATGTAAGCTTCATCCAGCCGGGCGTAGCTCAGCAGTTGAGCGTCGACCTAGGATCCTGGCGATCGGGGTTCGATTCCCGGTCAGGGCACATGCCTGGGTTTCGTGCTCAATCCCCAATTGGGGGTTTGCAGGAGGCGGCTGATTAATGACTCGTCATTGATGTTTCTATCTCTCTCTCTCCCTCTCTCCTTTCTTCTCTCTGAAATCAATAAAGATATATTTAAAAAAAAGAAAAAGGTAAGCTTCTTTTATAGTTTTACTGTATTTTTGATTTTTTGGTTTAATGGATGTCATTAAATTAAAGAGACAGTTTCAGTAGAAGCCAGGAAGTTGGCTATTCCCCATTCGTGCATATATTTGCATATACTCACACAGTTTCCTATTCCATTTGTTCATCTGTTAAGTGGGGACATTTTCACTAGAAAAAAATATATAATAATACGTTCTTTAATTGTATGAGATTTGAATCTCTGGTGTTTAAATGCAGTGAAATTTGAGGATTTATTAACTGAAATTCAGCTTCTTTTGTCATCTGCAAAGAATCCTTTTTTTTTTTTTTTTAAATATATTTTTATTGATTTCAGAGAGAGGAAGGGTGGGGAGAGACAGAGAGAGAAACATCAATGATGAGAGAGTCCTCATTGATCAGCTGCCTCCTACACCCCCCCNAGGAATTGAACCCTGATCTCCTGGATCCTACGTTGATGCTCAGCCACTGAGCCACACCTGACTGGGCTACAAAGAATCTTAATGTTTGTATCTTTGACTAGATGTCAAACATTTCTGATAATGTGCCCAGTCGGACGTGGCTCAGCGGTTGAGCATTGACCTAGGATCCAGGCGATCAGGGTTCGATTCCCGGTCAGGGCACATGCCCAGGTTGTGGACTCAATCAATGACTCTCTCATCATTGATGTTTCTCTCTCTCTCTCCCTCTCCTTTCCTCTCTCTGAAATCAATAAAGATATATTAAAAAACAAAACAAAACATTTCTGATAATGTTATAATAGCCGTGTTGAGAATCCTGTACAACTTTTCAGCCATGGAAATATAAAATGTTAGCATAGTTGTCTGGCACATAATAAGCGTTAATGACTGTTAGATTCGTATTATTGTTGCTATTGTAGCTGAGGACATAGTTGGGTTACCTTAAGGCCATTCAAGAGCTTCGTTGCTCTGCTCTAAGGGAGCGTAATGGCCTCTTCTCCGGCCCCCCGTGATCTGCCATTTTAAGAAGAAAGGTGGTGGCTCAGATATCTTAGGCAGGAGTAGTGGTAGTGACACCCCTTCTAACAGTGCCCCTCCAATAGTTTTATTTCTTTACTTAAGCCCCAAAATACCCTAATAGTGAGTGATTTAGAGATATTAGAAGAGCCAAGTACAAGTGTTTGTTATATACTGTGACAGGCTAAGAGTTTCTGAGCCTCTTTGGAAAAATCCCTCAGGAACAGAGCCTAGAGAGGTCCAGATTGTCTTTAAAGATCATTAAGGTAAATTTACTGTGTGTCAAAATGGGCCACACCAGAGCTCCCTAAATGTCTTCTAAATACTAGTTCCCGTAGGATGAGGGGGAAATGGATCGTTCCTATCAGCTGTCTTGGAGATAGGAAAGAGTTTAGGGCCAGAAACAGGACAGATTTGCATGTAGGCATCTGAAAGGGGATGGGAGCCGGGAGCAAGCCCCAATGAGAGCAAACTGACTCTCAGGGAAGGAGCTAAAGGGAGGAGCGACTTCAGATCTGTGAACTCACTTTTATTTGGCAAAACTGCTCTTCAGTGTTTAGTTGCTATCTATGTTACTTAATTCTTCTGTTTACATTGTAAACTCCTATAATGGCATATTTTAGGTGTAGGCTCAGAATCTGCTTCAGGATTCCCTCTTCAAAGATGTTTGTCATAATCTACGTTTACCAGACTAATAACATCTTGCCCTTGATGATCACCCATATAGGCAAATACTTATAATTGGTTGATATTTTGTTGCCCCTGTTTTAGTTTGGCTTAACCTGTGACTCAACATTCTTTTTTTCCCCCCTCTGAATATAGGTCTATAGGAGTGTACTGTTGAAAAGTATTCCCAGAGAAGTTGTGGCTTACAATAAAAAAATAAATGGTGATTTTGAAATGACAGATTGTGGTAAGTAGCCCAACTTAACATTCTCTATGCACTACACCTTTGATTACATTGTATATAATAAAGTGAATGTCAGGCAACGTAGAGTCAGTGATGTAGGTGGGATAGGTGATACATATGTGTTTTGGGAAGAAATAAATAAGTTTTTGATAAATATGGGTCAGATCCCTCCTCCAAATGCATTGTATTGAGACCATTAATTTTGTCCCCTGTCAATTGTGTTTTAGAAGCTTTCTACTCCACTTATGTACATTACTAAAACACATAAAAGGCACTTAAATTTTTAAAATACAGTAGTCTCCTTTATCCACAGTTTTCTTGATTTCAGTTACCAGCAATTAATGGAAAATTCCAGATATTTTGAGAGTGAGAAAGAGACCACATTCACATTTTTTTTGCATTATATAGTTATAATTTTTCTATTTTATTATTAGTTATTGTTTTTCATCTTTTACTGTGCCTAATTTGTAAATTAAACTTTATCATAGATATGTACATATAGGACAAAACAGTATATGTAGGGTTCAGTACTATTCACTGTTTCAGGCATCCACTGGGGATCTTGGAACATTCCCCTTTGAATAAGGGAGGACTACTGTAAATCTGAGTAACAGGGAAAGTAAGATAACTGTCAGTGATCTGCCCTGGAAGACAATTAAGGAAATGTCCTTTTTATTAAAAAGTGTACAAGTATTCTGCCACCACTGGCAAGGCTGCTACTTTGTTGCTACCGTCTAAGACTTGAGGCACTAGTAATTTTTTTCAAAGAAAAAAATCAAATGTTCTGTATTCATATGTTGATAAATTGTGAAAATGCCTCTTCTGTCCATCTTCTTTTCATTGTCTTATCTTTCCATTTACTTAATGTGTATACACAAGGTTAGGCAAAAGTAGGTTTATAATTGGGAGTATGTGAAACACAGTTTATTCTTGTATTATTTACTATTCTATTATTTTTCATATGAACAGCTGTAAACCTACATTTGCCCCACCCTGTATGAGTGCAGGTGTATTATATGTGCTGTGATTTATTTGTTTGTACAATGTGGGGCACTTATGTTGTTTCCAGTTTTATACAGCTTTGTGAGGAAATCACTGTAGTTTAATCTTTGGTCCAAAATGCCTAAGATAAATTCTTCGAGTAATTGCCTGGGTCAAAGACATTTTTAAAAATTACATAAATATTTATGATCATTATATTATGGTGTCTACTAGGATCTGAACTTTTAAGATCTTATTTTTTAAAATCCTTTAATAATAGTGACCTACCTACAATCTGATTTCACTTAAGAATATATACTTTTGCCCAGTCAGCATGGCTCAGCAGTTGAACCTCAACCTATGATCCAGGAGATCGCAGTTAGATTCTCAGTCAGGGCACATACCTGGGTTGCAGGCTCAGTCTCCAGTGAGGGGCGTGCAGTAGGCAGCCTTTCAATGACTTTCTCATCATTGATGTTTCTGTCTCTCTCCGTCTCCCTTCCTCTCTCTGAAATCAATAAAGACATATTTAAATATATATGTATATACTTTTTATATAAATGTATTATTCCTGAGCCTTCCTTTCTTTTTTTAAATTTTTTTAGAGAAAGAGAAAGGGGGAGAGAGAGAAACATCAATTTATTGTTCCACTTATTTATGTATTCATTGGTTGATTCTTGAATGTGCCCTGACTGGGATTGAACCCGCAACCTTGGCATATCTGGACAATGCTCTAACCAACTGAGCTACCCAGCCAGGGCCTGAGGCTTTTCAAGACAATGAGAAGTGTATTAGACAGTAAACCTGAGCATCCCGCTACGTCCCCCCAAAAAAACAACCCTTTCTATTTTTGTTACACCTGGGTGGTTTTTCTGCCCCTGCAAAACCAGGCATCATCAGCCCTGGCGGGGTGGCTCAGTTGGTTGGAGTGTGGTCCCTGTATCAAAAGTTTGCAGGTTTAGTCCCCACTCAGGGTGCATACAGGAGGCAACTGATCAATGTTTCTCTCTCTCTAAAAAAATCTATTAAAAAAAAACATGTCCTTGGGTGAAGATTAAAAAAAATAAAAAAACAGACATCAGAGGTTAGATGGGAAACAGTGTGCTCTATGAGAAACAAAGTAACTGCTAGCAACTCTCTGGGATATAGGACCAGTGAAATTCAAGATAATCTAAGTAAGTAGAAGGAAATATATCATGGTTTCTTTTTGATACAGTGTCTACCAATGAAGTTTGAGGTGAGTGAGGGTTAGCTTACTCTCTCTACAAGAGGTCAAATTTTTATATATACATTTATTTAGATGTTTTTTAGCAAACAAACAAAAAACCATTCTTAAGATCCTATCCAGTGGTGGTGGCACAGAGCAAGGAGAGTATCTAGTGATAATGGTCTCAGGAATTTTGGCACCAAAAAAGTGAGAAAGTTACAGAGGAAGATGCCATCAGGCACGTCTATGTTCATAAAAGACATGTTCCAGTTCCCAGAGCTATGGCTAAATAAAATGACCTAGACTTGGATACACCAAAGAACACCGCCTTGAGAAAAACAGTTCTGGTTTTATAAACAAATTCATCATTAGGAATACAATGATTACTATTTTAAAAACACACAGTTTCTGTATCCTGTACAGTTAGCTAAAAGTCCTAGCTGTCTGTCCAACTATCAACTCACATAAAAGGTTCACTCGAGACAGATGCTAACATTCTGTTATCTTTAAAGCCAAGTTAAAGCCAACAATATGCATCAGAGTTCAGAGCTGGGCATCATCCATAATAGTAAAGCCCCACAGACCTCATAGGATCTCTTATCTCTTTCATGGTATTGTGGATAGTGTCTCAAATATTTTACCTAATCTGCTTTTGTTAAATACCTAATTTCCCCAACATGAGCCAATTTTTAGCATTAGGCATACTTAATAAATGGTTGCTATTTTCATCAATAAAAACCTATCCCTGATGTTGACTATGTTAGTTAGCAAAGCATTGACCATTGATTGACATATGCCTAATAGAACCCTTATAGTAGCCAACTGTGGAGAATGACCTTAATTGAAACACCAGTTCACTTGTGTACCGTACATTCTTCATTATCATGTTAGCAGACCTCCCTAGACTAGCATTCTTGATTTAGAACATTTGAGAGCCTGGCCGGGCATGGCTTAGCGGTTGAGCATCAACCTAGGATCCAGGCGATCAGGGTTCGATTCCCGGTCAGGGCACATGCCCAGGTTGTGGGCTCGATCAGTGACTCTCTCATCATTGATGTTTCTGTCTCTCTCCCTCTCTTTTCCTCTCTCTGAAGTCAATAAAGATTAAAAATAAATAAAAATAGAATATTTGAGAGACCCAGATTATAGCTTAATATAAGTAACACAATCATAATACTCAAATGTATTATAGTAAATTGAAAACTTTACAAATACCTCAAAGGCTTTTTTTAAGGATTAAAAATAAAGTGTGTGTGTGTGTGTGTGTGTGTTTAACACAAAGCCTGCTCACAGTAAGGCCTTAGTAACAGTAAGTAGTAGCTACTATATATTATTTTGTAAAATTTATTATATTTTATTAAGGAATATGGTTCTTTAATTGCCTTTTTAAAGCTACTTTTTCTAAGGTCATATTCCTTAAAATCTTCTAAATGTTGAAAACTACATCTCACACATATAAAACAAAAGTAAAAGACAAAGCAAATTCTCTGAAGGGACAAAAATTCTGTTTTCATATAAGATGTATAAAATTGGTAGCTGCAAATTGATAATTAGATTACTTCTCATTAGATACATTTTACAGTCACCTAATAGACAACCAAGATATTTGTAGAGCACATTTTTACTTGTTTTTAGATTATAGTGATGCCTTTTAGAACTCACAAGAAACTGCTAAAATATTTCTGAAATATTCTAAAACCACTGAAGTTTTAAACTGGTCTGTGGTTAGCTTTTGCATAACTAGAAGTCATGCCGCCCTCTCAATCAGAAGGCCAGTCTGAGAGTTACCGCTCATTGTCATGGTGAGGGTAAATGGTAGGAGCCTTAATAAGGCGAGTACTAAATGCCTATTCTGGGGAAGTGTTGCTATGCTGGTCACCCCATCACCTCTCAACCTGACCCTTTGATTTGTAAATTCTGATCTCTTTCATCCTAAAATAATTTTGTTTCTCCTTTTTTTTTCTTTTTTTTAAAATATATCTTTATTGATTTCAGAGAGAGGAAGGGAGAGGGGGAGAGAGAGAGAAAAACATCAATGATGAGAGAGTCATTGATCGAGGCCACAACCGGGCATGTGCCCTTACCGGGAATCGAACCCCGATCTCCCGGATCCTAGGTTGATGCTCAACCGCTGAGCCACGCCTGGTTGGACTCTCCATTTTTAAGTGGTAAGAATCACAGTATATGCCTTTTCTCAATCTGAAAACTAATGACTATATGCAAAGAAATCAGCATCAGTCACTTGAGCAGCTCCTTTTCCAGTGATGGCTGGGGGATTTCATCAATATGTGCACCCCAGTTTGGGTGTGCCCAACCTCTGAAACCAGGTCCCCTGAGAAATAGCTGTCTAATGTTCCCTTGAATGCAAATGTGTCGTTCTAGGATGTAAAACCGTATATTATGGTCGCTTTTGTTGGCCACCTGCAACCCTACAATAATTTGCCTTCTCCCTTCCCACTTTCTTTTTTTAATTTTTTTATTTATTGATTGTAGAGAGAGAGGTGAAGAAAGAGAAAAACATCAATTTGTTGTTCCACTTATACATTCATTGGTTGATTCTTGTATGTGCCCTGACCGGGGATCGAGCCCTTAACCTTGGATGACACACTAACCAACTAAGCTACCTGGCCCTGGCTTCCCTTTCCACTTTCAGTTTAGGTCTTTGAAAGTTTCTAAAGGCAAAGATCCAGGCTGAATAGCTCAGCATATCTCTGCAGATCTCTGCAGCTGTTATCTCCAATGTCCTAAGGGCTCGTTTCATTCACTGGTGGTTTATATAAAGCCACATTTAATTGCTTGACAATGTTATCTGATAATCCAAAAAAGACATTCCTTTTATTCATGGGAGCAGTAGGGAAAATTAAGAAATCGTAGTTCATTGGGCAAGGAAAATCATGTATTTTGAAGTTGGGTTTGCTTTAAGGCTATCTTTCCTATGATGGGATAGGGAAACTAACTTACAGTGGTTTAAGTAGGAAACATGTCCTCATTTCTCAACTGTTGGCTCTAGACAGGCAACTTAGCCTAATCAGGTCTCTAAATCTAGGAAGAAAAAATTCATTGTGACTAGAACCCTAACCAGTATAGCCAGGCCGTATTCTAATTTAGAGTCCTTGGCAGCTGGAACAGGGAAGAAATCTCTAGGGAGTCACTGCTCTCAGTGATGAGAAAAGCTCTGGAGCCTAGATCTTTGTTGTCTTACATTTCACATAATTAGCGGTACTAGGGAGGAGTTCCTGACTGGAAGGAATGAGGCAAGAACTGGAGCCCTTGGAAATGTGGGAAGTCAGAGACAAAGCATGAAGACTAGTAAGAGCAAAATGTCACAGGCCGAGAATTGTGAAAAAGGAAGATGAAGACCACTCTTCCAGTGCCTGGTTTGCATCAGCAATTCCACAAGAGCTGGATAAACCTTTGCTTTATTAGGGGTTAGTTAGCACCAATAGTACTGTAGCCTTAGCTATAATTCTGAGTTTCACCTCTTTCACAGAAGAGCTGTAATAAAGCATTTCCTTCTGAAACAAATGCTCAGAGAATTGCTTTCTTTTTAATTTTTTTATTTATTGATTTTAGAGAGAGAGAGAAACATCTGTTTGCTGTTGCATTTATTTATTCATTCATTGCTTGCTTTTTGTACGTGCCCTAACCGGGGATCAAACTAGCAACCTTGGCATATTGGGACAATGTTCTAACCAACCAAGCTACCTGTCCAGGGCCCAGAGAATTGCTTTCTATATGAAGCCTTTATCAAACATAAATTGAGGTATGACTTGGCAGAGAACAAAAGTCAGTTGTGTGGCCTGGCCGGGCGTGGCTCAGCAGTTGAGCATCAACCTAGGATCCAGGAGATCAAGGTTCAATTCCCAGTCAGGGCATGTGCCCAGGTTGTGGGTTTGACCCCCAGTAGAGGGCGTGCAGGAGGCAGCCAATCAGTGACTGTCATCATTGATGTTTCTATCACTCTCCCTCTCCCTTCCTCTCTCTGAAATCAATAAAGACATATTAAAAAATAAGAGTCAATTGTTTCTGAATTTCTAAGGTCACTAAATATTGACAGATAACCTGTTGGTACTGAGTTGACACAGGGCTCAGGAAATGAGGGATTAAATCCAAGATTTAATTAAATTCATGAGTTTACTCAGCTGAAGATTACCCTCTCAGACAATCTGACACTTCTCATCAATTAACCACATGACCACACAAAGTGACCATGACATTATTTGCAGAAAACTTTTTATGTAGTAGAATAATGACTCCCTTTCTTGATACCTGAAAAGATGCTGATGTGATCTGCAGTCCTTCTTGCACGTTCTGCAGCTGGTTCTGCATTGTGATGATCTCCTTGGTGATGGAGGTAATGAGACAACTCTGCACAAATGTCTGTTCACCACCTATAGGAAGACAGGACACAGACTCAGCAATAGCATTTTACAGCTCATTTCATCAGCCTCTGCTAGAGAAATGTATCTGAAGAGGACAGCCCCCAGGAATGCAATGAGAGAAAATGCCATGATTCTAGAATCACACGAATTTTATTGTGTAGAAATTCACTCCTGAGACACAGTTCTTTCCCAGAGTGGGGGAACTGTCATAGCCTGACTGCCTTCATTCTGTTTCTCTAACCTCTGCATGACACACAAGATCACGTGGTTTAAGGCAAACATATAGGAAGGGTAGGTTTTATAAAGAAAAAAAATCTTCAAATATTGAAAAGACAACTATATGGGGATATAAAATACAGCATAGGGGATAGAGTCAATAATATTGTAATAACTATATATGGTATCAGGTGGGTACTAAACTTGGGGGATAACTTCATAAGTTATATAAATGCCTAATCACTGTGCTATGCACTTGAAACTAAATTTTCAACTGTAATTTATTTTTTTTTTAATTTAAATAGTTTATTGGTTCATTTCACAAACATATTATCATGTGCCTCAAGTTATATTAGGCAGAGGTTCCCTTCCACTCTCTGAGGGGAAGCAGACTTGTAACAGTTACAGCAGCAGTCAGGCAAACCTCTGATCTCATTCTCTCGCTCAGTCTTGTAAGTTCCATATCCTGATGTATGTGTGGTAAGATTCTCAGTCACCAGGCCTACTAAGGCTTTAATGTCAGAGCGCTAGTGTCCTTAAAGAGGCTGGAAAGTAGAGATGTTTGTCCCGCATAAAGGATAACTGGCATTTTGTTTTCTGTTTTGAAATGAAAAAAAAAAAAAAGCTAAATAAAATCATGTTTAGTTAGAATTTAAGACTTTTTTGTTTGTTTTTTTAATATATCTTTATTGATTTCAGAGAGAGGAAGGAGAGGGAAAGAAATAGAAACCTCAGTGATGAGAGAGTCTGACCGGCTGCCTCCTGCACCCCCCCAACTGAGGATCGAGCCCGCAACCTGGGCATGTGCCCTGACCGGGAATCGAACCTCAGTCTCCTGGATCCCAGGCTGATGCTCAACCGCTGAGCCATACCCAACTGGGCGGTCCCAGACTTTTAAATGTTTGGTTCCTTCAAACTTAGTATAGTGCCTTATCTTATGTAAATATTTACAACTGGAATTGGGATGACAGGAATATGAAGACTGTATAGTCTCTGACCCCAGAAATTTCAAATCCAAGGAGGACATTAGATAATTTTAATTGATCCATATAATGAGAATAGCCTGCAGTAGCTGTTCCCCAGTATACTTTGGAATAGTGTTCCACAGGATGGTAATTAGTGTTACGGGGAAGAGGGACTGCATTTTTTAAAAAACCTGAGAGCCTGGCTGGGCATGGCTCAGCGGTTGAGTGTCGACCTGGGATCCAGGCAATCGGGGTTCGATTCCCGGTCAGGGCACATGCCCGGGTTGCGGGCTCGATCAATGACTCTCTCATCATTGATGTTTCTATCTCTCGCTCCCTCTCCTTTCCTCTCTCTGAAATCAATAAAGATATATTTTAAAAAACAACAACCTGAGAAATATGGAAGTAAAGTGAACATGTGTTTTTTTCCCAACTATAAAACTTCTCAAAGCCATTAATACACTAACATGTATTCTGAATTTCCAAGAGGAGGGTAGAGTATGCAGCATGTCCTCAACTTACTCCACCACATAGCTTTTTACCCCCATTAAGAGCCTTCAAAAATGGCAGGAGTGAAAGAGACATCCAACTCCCTGGGCTGCTTGGCCTGTGGACCATGTTTGAGCTTACTGGTTTTCCGAAGGTGGAAGCATGCCTCTCTGTCCGTGTTCTCAGTGTTTGCCAGGCAGTGTATTAAGAATGAGAACCTTTTTTCATATGCAGAGTTCTTTTTAATTGGCAGTGGTTTTCTTAGCTCTTGTAAACAGATTACTCTTGTTTGTACAAGTAGACAGTGGTTTGGAATACTCTTCCCCCAAAAAGAGGAGAGTTTTGCCTGTTGTCACAGACTATCCCAGAGTTACACTGATAAATAGGAAATTACCTTGGGGCAAGCTGTCATTTTACAACTAAGGATGCTAGCTATAAACTGAGCACTGAAGTTCCTGTTGTACATCCAAGTTAGGCCCTTTCAACCCCTGTAACCTGGCATGTATTTGCAAAAAAATAAACAAACAATTCATCGTGCTTCTTAACCTATGAGGATATGCCTTACCTTTCAGAGTCTTTCCACCTTTCTGCAGTATGAATATATGCAGGCCCTTTTGTTATCTGAATATCAGGGTTTTCCACTGCCACCCATTCCCTAGAGCTTAGTTTAGCTAAACCCACTCAAGGCTGGTGCCCCTCTGAGGGCCACAGTGACAGTGAGCTCAGATGGGTGGCTCAGTTGGTTAGAACGTCATTCTAGTACACCAAGGTTGTAGGTTCTATACCTGGTCAGGGCACATACAAGAATTAACCAATTAATGCATAAATAAGTGGAACAGCAAACTGATGTTTCTCTCAAATCAGTAAACTTTTTTAAAAAATTTAAGGCATCTAGAGAAAAGAGTGCTACCTTAAGTTTACATGTTTGTATTTCTCAAGATTTCAATTTAATTTATGCATAATATTTATAGATTTCTGAACCTATTTTGAAAACACTGATTGTTTTACATAAAGATTTATGTTTATTTGAAGTTTTTTATATTGTAGAGAGAGTTATAATTTAAATAATCAACTTGTATATTAAAGTAGTACATCTGTCACAGCACTGAATTCTTTTAACAGACTTGGAAGATGTTACAAAAACACCTGATTGTTCCAGTGCACCAGTGAGAGAGGAAAGAGGCGATCTTATCAAATTTTACAATACAGTGTATGTAGGAAGAGTAAAGTCATTTGCATTGAAATATGACTTGTCAAATCAGGACCATATGGTATGTCTTGTATTTTATTACTTTATTAATATTGTAGTCACAGTTGGATTACTATGAGTTTATTTTGTGAGATAAGTGTTTCAGAGTTAATGCCACATTGATGCATTATATAAAACAAAATATACTAGTAATAATCACAAAGTGATTAAGGCTGTGATACAGCAGAGACCAAAGGAAATCATGAAAATTTAATCCATACTATGATTATGTTGCTAGAAATTATGTATACATATGGGCAAGGACTAGATGGGAACAGAGAAAACAAATTTTAATTCTGGTCATTTTTCTCTTGGTTTTGATTTCTATTATTATATTTATGAGATAAATGTTTTTCTCAAGATAAAGAGAAAAGGAAATAGATAGGCCTGAATTATAAATAGAGGCAATGCTAAGAAATTTTTATGCAGGTCCTAGCTTTGGCAGTACCAACAGGTTTGTAAGAGTAGTATTAGCAGTATATAAACTGAGTTGATTCCCAACAGACCAGACTTTAGTTATAAGAAAGAGGGACATAGTAGAAGCTGCCCCCTGCCAGTAACCATGTATGTTTATCTGTGTGTCTCTACATTTCTGTCCTTGTTCCTTTCAAGGAACATAAATGGTCTCCAACTAACCTCAGAGGCCAGGGCTGCTCATCCTACTCCATCAGTTCTAGCTCCGATCATATGCCATGCTGCGAATATTTCTATCATCTGCCAATTGAAACTAGTTTTATTAGCTTCAAGTAAAGATGAAAATGAGTAATAATTAAGAAGCCATCTTTATTTAGTCTTGAAATGGAAACACTGTACCTAATATTAAAGTACAGACTCTGCTCACCTAACTCTATTTCTAAATCTTTTGTGTTTTAATATAAAGTCTTAACATTTCTCATTAACAGATTTGTTCTGTGTTGGACTCATCCTGCTGGCTCATAGAATTCTCTGCCTCTCTTTTATGCTCTCTGCTGCTGCTTTGGTTGTGGGTATGTGTGTGTCGAGAGAGATTCTTATTGCAAGTGTTAGGACATTGATTATTCTTTGCCCCTGTTTTCTGAGAATGGACGTGGGGTTCCTATACTCCTGGCTTACTGCTTCTGGTGTCTTCCCCAGAATTCTTCAGGATTTCCTGAAAGATCCAGAAAAATCCATTTTATTTTATCTCTTAGTAATTGTTGAAAAAATAAGGAGTAATAGACCGTTTCTTTGCTTTTCTTCAGCCATAAATAAGCTCTTACAATATACCTGACTCCCACCTAGGAGATGCCAATAAGAATAAAAATATGGTGGAATTCCAAAAAGAAAGAAAACTTTTATCTTAAAACAATTTATTTTTGGGTTATTTCAGATGGAAGCTCCGCCACTGTCTCCTTTTCCACATATTAAGCAACAGCCAGGCTCACCACGCCGAATTTCCCAGCAGCACTCTATTTATGTTTCCCCACACAAGAATGGGTCAGGCCTAACACCAAGGACTGCTCTGCTGTATAAGTTCAACGGCAGCCCTTCTAAGGTAAGGTGCACACAAACTTTACTCCAAAACAACTTATGTACATTTGTTAAAAATAGGATTTCACATTACCAATTAGTAATCTTTAATCTGCTCTCTCTTTTTTGCATAGTTACTACTAATATAAACTGTTACTATGGCAAATTTCCTGTGATCAAGAGCAGTGCATTCAGTTGAGGTAGTTCAGTCCATTACTATTGACATGATATTGGAGGAGTTCACTGCAATAGTCTGGTGTGTCCCCCTGCTCAAGCGTGATCTTGAGAAGGGACCCACCAGTAAGGCAGCACCTGCTAGTGGTCAGATATGGGGAACATTAAGTTTAAAGAAAGGCCTTGAAAATGGAAGTTTATTTGGTGGATGGTAATAAGGATAGTAAAGGGTCTGAAAAGAGGCCTCTACACAGACAGCTCTGTGGTTATCTCCATCTTTATCCTGTACCATGATAAAGGTGTGACAGGGACATGATTGCTGTTTTCTGGTATTTCAAGGGCTGTCAAGCAGATATGTTCAGTATGTCTCCAGAAGCCAGAATTACTGCCCACTGAAAGAAATGGTACTGGGACAGATTGTAACTCAATCCAAATACAAACGTAGCTCCTTAACTCAGAACTTTCTCATTCGGTTCCACAGACATCTGTTGAGTTTCTGCTGTACTTAGCAAACAGAACACACTGAGATAGAGCACCTCACAGATTTGCATTTCCTCTTCATAGAAGTCATGCAAGAGATTCTTGCATGAAATCAAAGATGGGACCAATTGACTTCTAAGGCAGTGATTTCAGAACCATAGGTCAGAGTCACCTGGGGAGCTTGTTGAAGACAGATAACCTATCCCATAGACCTGAATCACAAAGCTCTGGCAGTCAGGTTCCCTACGCAATTGTGATGTACAACTTTTAGGAAAAACTTCTCTAAGGCCTGCTACTGAGAATGTGGGTTTCGACCAGCAACATCAGCATCACTTGGGAGCATTTTAGAAATGCAGACTCAGGCCTCACACCAGCCCTACTGAATCTGAGTCTGTATTTTTAACAAGATCCCCAGATGATTAGTAGGTAAGTTAAAGTTTCAAAAGCGTTGCTCTAGGAGGAGGATCTCAACCTTTAGGGAGCATAAGAATCCCCTAGAGGGCTGGATAAAACAGATTGCTGGGCCCCACCCCCAATGCTTGATTGAGTAGGTGTGGGGTGAGGCTTGAGAATTTGCATTTCTAAGTTCCTAGATGCTTCTGCTGCATCTGCTCTGTGTCCACACTTTGTGAACTACTGGTATAAGGTAAATTCATTTTTTTAAAAACTCCTGAAAGGATTAGTTCTAATTACCCTTATTCAGTTGGCCTTGATTCAAAAAAGTAATCTGTACCCCATCAGGATAGAGGGCAGGAAAAAGCAGTTAGCTTAGTTCTTTGCTCTTTCCCTTTTTTCCCCTTTTACTCATGCATGTCCTCTATTTTTGCACAGAGTTTGAAAGATATCAACAACATGATAAGGCAAGGTGAACAGAGAACCAAGAAGCGAGCAATAGCCATTGATGCTGATGCAGAATCACCTGCCAAACGCCTCTGTCAAGAAAATGATGATATTTTACTTAAAAGACTGCAGGATGTTGTCAGTGAAAGAGCAAACCATTAGTGCCTTTCCTGTTTCTGTGATAAAAGCACTTTCAGGTTGTTTTGCATAAAGTTGGGGCTTTATCTTTCAGAATTTTCAATCCTCTACATGGTAAATATCACTGAATTATAAGAAAAACTGCATGAAAATTATACACTTTTTTTTAACGTTCATACAAAATGTAGTTGACAGATATGTATTTTGAGTTGGATTGGAAAGGAATGTTTTAAGTGCCTTTTAAACATATTAATAGTCCTAGAATTTTTTAAATGTTTGTTCCTTGGGTTAGTTTTTAAGATGAAGTAAGGAGAAACCTTATAATTTTTAACTCACTTTTTAAAATAATCAAATGTCTCCTCTTGTGCTCCATAATATGAGGGCCAATAATCTATTTTTGGTAAGTGCGCTTTGAGATATTTGTGTTCTAAATTTAATACTGAGTAGGGGTTGATTCCCATTGCACCTGGGCCAGAGGATGTTGTACCAGCTTGTCTGTGACCCACTGTGGTAACTCTACATCCAGGTGCCACTACCATTCTAGGTTCTCTAGATCCTTTCTCCTGCCCTTCCTCTCTTGAGCATAAGCAGATTTATACCAAGCCCATGCACTACCCACACTCCTCGCTTTCCAGCCCTAAGCCTCTTAACCTGGTGTCTCAACCTAATGAAAAGGGTCTTGCTCCTTTTTTAAACTACTATCATTTTGTTTCTGAACCATTAACTTAATATTTGTGATTATATTACATCATGTAATTCTCAAAATAAGAAGCTACTGCTTCTCAAGCCAGTAGAATAAAATACAGATAAGAGTTTTTAGAAACTAAATTTCCTAGTTAGTGAGGTAGCACCGTGATAATGTGTGAAATACTATTTTTGGGGTCATCATAAGATTAGTCATCTCAATATTGATAATTGATTCTGTAATAAATAACCTTTTTTTTTTTTTAATGATTTTTTAAATTGATTTGAGAGAGAGAAGAAGAGGGAGAGAAAGAGAGAGAGAAGAACATCGATGTGAGTGGAACATTGATTGGCTGCCTCCTGCATGCCCCCTGCCTGGGATCAAGCATGCAACCCGGGCATGTGCCCTGACTGGGAATTGAACTGGCAACTTTTTGGTGCACAGGGTGACACCCAGCCAAGTGAGCCACACTGGGCAGGCTCGTTGAACCTTTTTCTAAACCACAATATCTCTTCATACCTCATAATTATAAGTTACATCAGTAAAGCAACTGGTTATTACTTCCTCCTCTTTGTTCTCAGTGTTATTGGCACATTGTGAGTTTCCCATTAGGATCTGACCACTGGAGCCCCATAAGGATGCTTTCCAGTACTAGGTAGGGGTGTGCAGCTTTCCAAAGAATCAACTGTTCAGTATTCATTTTTTCTAGTGTGTTTTCAGATTCTGGAAGGATATGGATAAGCCATTCTTCATTATTTTTGGAGAAAATGTTATCAATTATATATTTTTTTGACTGAAAAATCTTATTTTTTAAAATGCAAAGTTTTTAACTTAATCTATGTCTAACCCTGGCTAATTTGAATTAGTCTAATACTAGCCTATAAATTAGTAATTACTATTGTCAGGAATTTTATTTTTAAATTGTAAGAAGAAAAGTGATTTTGGCCACATTGTGCTTTTCTGAAAACTACACCCTCCTTTTTCGTGTGTAGTATCTACACGTGTTATACACCAAATAACTTCAAGTCTGTCTTGATCCTTGTATGTATTTTTATGTAGCTGTAGCTATTGTGTCATTTTCACCTTCATTATTAATGTGCAGAATATAAGCAAGCATTTGTACATTGACTGTATAAGAAACTCTGGACATGTTTTATCAGTTTCCAAGACTGAATATCAGTGTACATAAAACTGTTAATAAAACATTGGAGTTTTTGAAATTATTGAAAAACTATACTTGTGCTCTTTTCTGTGTGACCAGAAGCAATTATGCAGCCGTTTTAGAATCTACATCTCTTTAAATATCTGCTTCAGATCTTTTTTTTTTTTAATCCTCACCCAAGGATATTTTTTCGTTGCTTTTCAGAGAGAGT